ACCCTTGTCCCCAATTCTAATAATCTATTCTCCTACAGCAACCTGAGTGACCCTTAAAATTGCCATCCTCTGCTTAAACATTCATTCTTTGCTCAAGCCTTTCCAATGATTACTCACAAGAGGAAAAGTTGAAGTCCTTTTTATAGCTAAGAGCTCTGGAATCTATCCACCTGCCCCTTCCAGTTATTCCTCTAGTCTCTTGTTTATCTCTCTCTCATTTGCTCCACTCCAGCTATACTCCAGCCTGTTCATATGCAAAGGTCTTTGAAGTACTGTTTTTTCCTCTGTCTTTAACCATCTAAGTTAGGGCTTCTATTGCTGTGATAAGACACCATGACCAAGAGCAACTTGGGGAAGAAAGGGTTCATTTCAGCTTCAGTTCCACATCACAGCCTATCACTAAAGAAAGTCAGGGCAGGAACTCATGCAAAGGTCATAGAGGAGTGCTGCTTACTGGCTTACTCTTCATGGCTTGCTCAGCCTGCTTTTTTATAGCATCCAGAACCACCAGCCAAAGGGTGGTACTGCCCACAGTAAGCTGGGCCCTCCCACATCAATCATCAATCAAGAAAATGTACCACAAACTTGCCCACAGGCCAGTCTGGTGGTGACATTTTCTCAAATGAGGTTCCTCCTTCTCAAATAACTCTAGCTTTTGTCAAGCTGACATAAAACTAGCTAGCACAGTAACATATTCTCTTCCTGTGATAGCTATTATCAGTTGTCAACTTGAATACATATGAAATGAACAACAATCCAGAAATGGAGGGCACATCTGTAAGAGATTTTTTTTTTGCTTGGTTTGAAGTGACCTTTGATCTGGATCTGAGGTGGGAAGATACACCTTTAACCGTGGGTCATACCTTCTGCTGGAAGCCTATATAGGACATAGAAGAAGGAAGCTTTTGCTGTTTGCTTGCTTGCCCTTGCCTTGCTAGTACATCCATTTCTTCACTGGCATTAGAGCCTACTTCTTTGGGATTCCAGCATATACTGAAGACCAGCTGAGTCATCCAGTTTTGTGGGATGAGTAAGTACTGGATCTTGGACTTTCCATTCACAGCCAGCCATTGTTGGATTAGCTGGACTTCAACCTGTAAGTCATCCCAATAAATCCCCTTTATATATAGAGAGAGATTCATTCTATAATTCTGTTACTCCAGAGAATTCTAATACACTTTCTCACCTTAAAACTCCCTCACTTCCTGTAGGTCTCTACTCAAATGCCACCTTCTTTTTTATATTATTTAGTTTATGTAAATGAATTATTGCCTGAATGTATGTTTGCATGTGACTTCAAAGGTCAGAAGACAGTGTTAGATACCCTAGAACTGGAATTATAGATTGTTAAAAGCCACCATGCGGGTGCTGGGAAATAAACACGGGTTCTCTGCAAGAGCAACAAGTGCTCTTAACTGCTGAGCTACCTCTCCAGCCCCAAATGCTACTATCTTAACTGGGACCTTTCTGACAACTATTTTAAATTGTTAGAGCCGGGCGGTGGTGGCGCATGCCTTTAATCCCAGCACTCAGGAGGCAGAGCCAGGCGGATCTCTGTGAGTTCGAGGCCAGCCTGGGCTACCAAGTGAGTTCCAGGAAAGGTGCAAAGCTACACAGAGAAACCCTGTCTCGGAAAAAAAAAAAAAAACAAAACTTAAATTGTTAGATCGGTATTTAAATTGTTAGATCTCTATTCCCTTCTTGTGCTTTGTACTTTTTTTTCCCCTAAAATATTTATCACCAGGCTAGAGAGACCATTTAGGCAGTTAAATGCCACACAAGGATAAGAACATGAGTTTAGTCCCCAGAACCCACAGAAAAAGTTGAGCATGATGGTGTATGCTTGTAATCCTAGCACTAGAGAGGTGGAGACAGGAGGATTCCTGGAGCTCACTGGCTAGCCAGCCTAGCCTGAACTGTCAAGCCCCAGGTCCCAGTGAGAACCTTGTCTCAAAAAACAAAGTGGATGGCTCCCAAGGAATAACACTGAGGTTGACCTATGGCTCCATACATATGCACACACATGTGCACATGCACACCCACACAAAATAAATTTTAAAATTTATCACCACTTGACATGTTGCTTCTTTACTTTTTTCTGGTTTATCTTCCATCACTAGAATGTACATGCCATGAAAGTAGTGACTTTTTATATTAATTCAATGTATGTGATATACAGTTGGTATTAATACATACTTGTTGATAAGTAAGTAGGGAGCTTTATTTTTCCTAAGTGTTTACATAAAAATGATCTCCAATGTATTTTCCAGATAATAAATACAAAAGCAGTTTGCTTTTGTTCTAGTCTGGATCAATATAGTGAATCTTATCTCCTGCAAACAATCCTTTTAAAGAACATTCTATTTTTTTATAGTTCTGATCAGATAGCTTTGTCACTAAAATAAACTGAGCACACAAGCCAGCTTAACCACAGTGTAGTAATCAAATAAAACTTACAGCAAAGTTAATCAGACACATCTTTAATGATATGCATAATTGTTATTGTGCTGCACGGTAACTAGGCATAAATGGTAGACATTCCATGTAAATGATGCTAATTGCTATTCCTGTTACACAGTCAAACCAAGCATGTCTAGGATCAGCTTCAGAGAGAAACAGAAAGGAGGGAGAAATCTTGGTACTTAACTCCGAGAGGTAAGAACTTTCTTACTCTACTCCCCAGGAATTAGGCAAATGGTCTCCTGGTTCTATTATGTGGCTTCTTCCCGTTCTCAAGACGGGGAAACTTTCCCACTACAGTATGAGAAGCCTGCTATCCAAGATTTAGAAATTATGTTGAGAGGAACAAGAAACAATCACTAATTTCTGTCTCTAATAAGGAAGATGTGGGCACAAGCAAGCTGATGGAAACTAAGAGATCAGATTTACTGAGGGTCAAGCAAAGGCCACACACACTAGTAAGTGTCTCACATAATTCCTCACTTCCCCAGCCTACCCAGATCCCCAAATTGTTCCCAAGAAAACACATGACTGAGCATACTATGGGATGGTTCCAATGAGGATTCCTGCTCCAAAATCTCCCTAAAAGGTCTATCTAAAATGCCAGTTTTCACAGTCCAGGCTAAAACCCAGCCTATCTAGGACATGATCCCAATTCACTGTTCTTTTCTCCCCCAATGTATTCATTTACAGGGATATTCACTTAGGCATAAACCATGCACTCTAAACAACTGTAATTACTTTCCTAAGTAAAAATTTACTTTCCCAATAATATCACAAACCTCTTGGTAGCAGAAACCTTGTTTTAAAACTTCTCTAGTAACCCACATAAAGGCTTACCACCATTTTTTAAAAAACATGTTCCACGAACTGGAGATGGCTTGGTGATTTTTAAAAGTGTTTGCTGAACAATCATGAAGGAAGAATTTAGATCCTAGTACCCATGGAACAAATTGGGCATCCCACACATGCCTGTAACTCTACCTCTGAGCAGAGCAAAGACAGGAGGATCACTGGAGCTTGCTGAAGTCTAGTCTAACTGGGAAAACATGAGCCCCTTGTTTAGAGACACCCTGCCCCAAAGGAACAGGTGGAGAGCACTAGAGAAGGACACTCAATGCCCTCTTCTAGCCTCTACCCATGTAGGATCCAGGGGTCAGAATTGGTCATCAGGTTTGGTGGCAGATGACCTTACCCACTGAGCCATTTCACCTGCTTGAGATCTCTGATAGATATGACATGGGTGGTAAGCAGAGAAATCCAGCGGAATACTAAGTCTACTCCAGTAATCTTTAGGGATGGGCACTCATGAACCTTTAGGGTCATGGATGGTTGGGCTGCCAACTCATGTACCACTGTTGTGGATGATCCAAGTGGTCCTTTCTGCAATTTTAACTTATAAAATACTTCACAAATATACAATTTTAGATTTAAATACATCTAAGTTATAAAAATCAACTGGCACCAAGAAGATTACAACACTTTCAATTACCTAAGACTTACATTTCATTTGTATGTTGGATCACGGAGAGCTAGCTATGCTGACACTAATTTACTTAAAGGTTAAAAATCATAGACAGAAAGGCAGAATCCAGATGGTAAATCAAGGGATATGATTTACAAGAATATTTTCTTGGTCAACATCTGACACTATATCAAAACTATGGCTTTGGTATACTCTTAGAAAGGTAACAAATAGTTTCAGCGTAACCCAGCAAAGATATACAGGACAGAAATATAAATTAGGAATAGTTTTAACAGCTGTCTCTAAGTGGAATGTCTATCGAAATAAACCATAAGACATTTCTTTTAAATAAAAAATGGACCATGCTAGAACTTAAGTTTCCTAAGTTCCTTAGGAGTCTCAATATTTAAATATATAAGCTGAAATGCAAGGTCTACTTACTTTTCAGATATTAGCTTTTCAGCTATTCACAGTAAAAAACAAATGGAACATTAAGAGGGAAGGCTTTTTCCCCTTTACCTTTTCCTGAGGAACTTAGTACAACATAATATGCCTATTAAGGACAAGGAGCACAATTGTACTCGAAACTAATTACATAGAAACAATGGCAACTTTGAAATTAAGAGCTATTTCTCCTGCACTGTATTCTACAGGATTACAAAAGTATCATGCAAAAAAATTAAGAGTTACACTGTCAGCTGGGTATGGTGGTGCACGCCTTTTTTAAAAAAAATTTTATTAAATTTTCTATTCATTTTACATACCAACCACAGATCCCCCTCTCCTCCCTCCTTCTGCCCCCCACAACCCACCTCCCCTTCCCACCTCCTCCAAGGCAAGGTCTCCCATGGGGAGTCAGCAGAGCCTAGTACACTCAGCTGAGGCAGGTCTAAGCCCCTCCTCCCTGGTGGACGCCTTTAACCCTAGCATCAGGAGGCAGAGGCAGAAGGGTTTCTATGAGTTTAAGACCATCCTGGTCTACATAATGAGTTCCAGACCAACCAAGATTATACATGGTGAAACCCTATCTCAAAAAAAAAACCCAATAAGTTAGGCCATCCTGTTGAGTTTTTACCTGTTTCCTGCTCCATCAGACCATTGCAGTACATGGCATGTTGTTCAATCTTTGCAGGAGGAAAGTCTTGGTCACACAGTGGGCAGGACACCCGGGTACTAGAGGAGAATGCAGGAGTGGGATTTGCTTTCTCACTATCTTCTCTCTCACCATTATCAACCTAAAGAGCATAGCAAAGAGCAATTTTAAAGTAACAGCTTTAACTTATATCTTTTCCCCCAAAGAACAAAATACATCCACATTTCATTTACTTGAAAAGAAAAAATACCTATCAGTTTATACCAGATTCAAAATCAAGGATTGAAGGCAAAGACTTAAGTATTTAAAGGCCTAAAGAAGTCATTAGTTAAGACAATCAATTTTACTAAAGCCTCTTAGGTCTTCTCTCTTGCTCCTATAGTTGCCAGTATCTTGCACTGGTAGTTTTTAAATTTTGCTTATTTGGTATTTATGTGGTTTGGTTGGTTTGTTTGTCTCGTGTGTGTGTGTGTGTGTGTGTGTGTGTGTGTGTGTGTGTGTGTGTGTGTGTGTGTGTCCGTCTGTCCATGCTACATAGTATATATGTGGAAGTTAGGGAGTTGGTTCTCTCCTTCTACCTAGTTAAGGTAAGGTCTCTTTTGTTTCTACCATACTTTGTATTCCAGGCAAGCTGGCTGTCTTAGGGTTTCTCTTGCTGTGATGAAACACCATAACCAAAAGCAACATGGGGCATGGTGGCAGTGGCACACACCTTTAATCCCAGCACTCAGGAAGGAGAACCAAGTGGATCTCTGTGAGTTCGAGGCCAGCCTGGTCTACAAGGCAACAACACAAGATCCAGGACAGACACCAAAACTACAAGGAGAAACCCTGTCTCAAAAAACCAAAAAAAAAAAAAAAAAAAGGAAGGAAAGAGTTTATTTTACTTATAAGTCCATATCACATTTTACCATCAAAGACAGGGCAGGAACTCTAACAGGTCAAGAACCTGGAGGCAGGAGCCAATGCAGAGGCCAGGGAGGAGAGCTGCTTACTGGCTTTCTCATCATGACTTGCTCAGTCTTCTTTCTTACAGAATCTAGGACCACCAGCCTAGGGCTGGAACCACCCATCATGGACTAGGCCCTCCCATATCAATTACTAATTAAGAAAATGCCCTACAGGCTTGCCTATAGCCCAGTCTTCTGGAGGCATTTTCTTAATTGAAGTTTCCTCCTTTTAGGTGACTGTAGCTGTGTCAGTTGACACGAAACTAGTCAGCTCTCAAGCTTCCAAGCAGTTCTCCTGTCTCTACCCCCAATCTTGATTTAGGAGTACTAGGATTGTGGATGTGCATCATCCAGTCTTTAATATGGATTTCAGGAATCAAACTCAGGTCATCAAGCCTGAACAGCAAGCACTTGTACCTGCTGAGCCATTTTGCTGGCCCAAACTGATTATTGTGTAGGAAGTCAAGAAATTAAAGTGGGTCTGAAAGTTTTAGATGATACTATTCCAAGGTTAGTCACTGAGCTTCTTACAAATCTAAGTTCTACTGTTCACAGATGTTCTAAGAAATTCCTATGTTGTACAAATCAAGCTATTTGAGCAAAAAGAGGAAGCAAATACACCCTCATTTGCAAGCAGTCTTGAGTTACTGAAGGTTAGTGATTACTGAGAAGCTGCTTGGCATTCTAAAGTTCACTAAGCACAAAGATGTGATACAAAAAGAGTATCACCAGTGCTCACAAAAAAACACTGTATTGACCCAGCAGTGGTACATGACTTTAATCCCAGCACTTGGGAGGCAGAAACAGGTGAACTTTTGTGAGTTCCAGGACAGCCAAGGCTACACAAAGAAACTGTGTGGAAAAAACAAAACAAAACACTACATTGCTTTGTACTCATCCACTGTTTTACAAAATATAATGAATATAACTACTAATGTATTTAAGAGAAAGGAGTCTATTATTGTCTCACTGTGATTGAAATGACTTCTAACTACATTCTACAAAACTCAGAATATTTCTGAAAATTCTTAAAAATAAGACATTTCCCCCCAATACCACTAAAAAAAGTCTATTTAAATATTAACTATTAGAAAGGAATTACAAGGCGTAAAACAACTTTTATTAGGACTATGTAGATGATCAGATTTGGTGTCTACAGAGCTGTTTCTTGTTTTAAAATATCATAGAGGCAAGATGGTTCAGTGAGTAAAGGTGTTTGACACCAACTCTGATGACTTGAGTTCAACCCCTAGAACCTACATGGATGGAGAGAACTACCTCCTGCAAGTTGTTGTCTGACCTTCACACACACACACACACACACACACACACACACACACACACACACACACACACACACACACACAGTGTAAAATAAATAAATAAGTAAAAATACTACCCAATGAGATATCAAAAGTAGTACTCAGACACAGAATTGTAATCCCTTGTAGGTATATCCAATCTGTAGCTCTAGGGTGTTGTGGAGTATTACTTTAACTAGGCAAAGATGTGTTATATTTGTTTATGTTGCAGAATATTACTTTAACTATGTAAAGGTATGTTACATTTGTTTATGCTGCATTTGTTTAATGATGTAAAGATGTGTTACTTTGTCTGCCTAAGGCACCTGATTGGTCTAATAAAAAGCTGAACAGGCAATAGCTAGGCAGAAGAGGGATAGGTGGGGCTGGTGGGCAGGGAGAATAAGCAGGAGGAGGAATCTAAGCTTGAGAAAACAAGAGAGAACAAAAGAGAAAGAGAGGGAGACACCCGGGATGAGCCAGTTAGGCAGCCGCCAGCCAGTCAGACATGGAGTAGGACATACAGAAAGAAAGGTAAAAAAAGCCCCAAGGCAAAAATGTAGATGAAGAGAAACAGGTTAATATAAATTATAAGAGCTAGTGAGACAAGTATAAGGTAAGGCTGAGCATTCATAAGTTGTCTCTGTGTCATGATTTGGGAGCTGGTTGGCAGCCCAAAAGAAAGCCTGATCCCAGGAGAGCTGTGAATGCCACTTAATACATTTATAGATGACAATATCATGTCACTATGTAAAAAAATTGGAAAACTCTTGTAGCCTAAACTTCTGACTTCAAAAGAAATGTCACCCAACAAATAAGCCCAGTGAAAATAAAGACATACCCTACAAATCACCAAGTCCTTCACCCTCTCCTACCTGGCTTATAAGCAGCTTAGAAAGCTGTTCATTTCGACCCTTCTTACCATATGACTTTTTTTGGGGGGTGGGTTGGTTTGGTTTGGTTTGGTTTGGTTTTTTGAAACAGGGCCTCCCTACATAGCACTGGCTATCTGGACCTCACTATGTAGATCACCTTGAACTCAAGAGATCTGCCTGCCTCCCAAAGGTGTGTGCCACCACACTGGGCTCTATATGACTCTTTATTCACATAAAAACTTACTAAACTATTTGTTTGGCTTGGAACAACTTCTCATATCTCACCTGAGAACAGAGTGACATATGATATACATATGACAATGCACCTCAAGAAAATTCTCAAGCACAATGAAGAACCAAAGCACCCCCATTTCAAGCAAGCCCCTCACACAGCTTGAAACAGGCCTGAGTTTCAAAATTCTCAGAGCTGCTGACATAGGTCCCAGGACAAAGTCAGGATGTTTGAAGAGCCATCTGGTAACAACTGATTAACCACAGAATGCCCCAATGCCGGAGATGGTCAAAGGTACAAAGTCACAATGTTTGAAGGACTATATAGTAGCAATTGATTAACCATAGAATGCCCCAATGCCGGAGGTAGTCTATAAAGTTTGACAAACAACAGGTTAAAACTACAAAGTAAGATAACACAGAAATTCTGAAAAGCCCCTGAAACTTGAGCCAATCAGAATTGTACCCATACTAGCGCCGCTAAATGATGTAACCTCATGGTTTTTGCCTTTGAAACCTGAGCTTGCAGAAGTGTGGGCACCTCCTCCAGCTTCTACTGTGTTGGATGGCTTGACAAGGTCCCTGCCGTAGCTTGAACTGCTTCAATAAACCTTGCTTTTGCAATTCAGTGAGTTCATGTCTCTGGTGGTCTCTTCGGGGGTCTCTCGCCCAGGGCACAACACACAATATTGAGAAAACATTATTCCACCATTTCCAGAGAAAAACTAACTAGTGTAAGAAATGATCAAGAGAGACTGCAGTTATAACAAGGTTGCTCTGCATAAATCAGTGCTACCAAACAATTACCCCCGTTAACAAGCTAATATCACTGAACAGTCATAAAACTTTCAAAGCAGAAAAACTATTTCTATATACATACTTCTACTTGTGCCAGATCAGCTATATGTTTTATAGTCTGTCTAATTTAATATTCTAAGAAACTCAGTTTTGAAAAATGTATTTGGGGAGCCAGACGGTGGTAGTACATACCCTTAATCCTAGCACTCAAGAGGCAGAGGCAGGCAGGATCTCTGAGTTCAAGGCGAGCCTGGTCTACACAGAGAGTTCCAGGACAGCTAGGATTCCCCAGAGAAACCCTGCCTCAAAAAATCAAAAGAATCCCTTGATCCCCAGCACCCAAGTAAAAAGCTGGGCATAGTGGCACATGCTTGTAATCTCAGCACTGGGGAGGCAGAGACAAGCAAATACTAAGGCTCAGTAACCAGCCAGCCAGCCTATCAAAATTGAAAAGCTCCACTGAACCTGTCTCAAAAAACAAGGTATGGTACATGGCTTTAATCCCAACACTCAGGAGGCAGAGACAGAGAGATCCCAGGAAACCTCTAAGATTACTTACAGGCATACACAGACATAATCAAACAGCAACAGTGAAAAGCACTCATTTGATATGCAGCAGTGCAGAATGCACATTATAAATTCTAAATCGGGTTTATGTTCTTTGGCCCCAAGAACAGTATCCTTTGTAGTGATGGATGATAAGAAAGCAGCCTTGATAACTAAAGGCTTGTAGGGCTTCTTCTGCATGTTAGGATAACTATATTACTAACATTGTTCCCTGATTCCCATTTAGAAGGTTCTGATCTTCTCTGAGGGAAAACAAAAAACAGAAAACAGAGGCCATTTTGATATTATCTATTAGGATCTATCCTCAGTAGATCTGCTACAGAGGCTAATTCTTCCTGCACTGGCACGAGGAAATCCCAGTCTTTCATTTGTGACACACCAGGTTCCAAGAAACCTGTGTATGATTCATGAAAGCAGAGTTTCTAGCCAATTACCTGCAGTGCAGAGACTAGGAAAGGATCTAACATCTACTGTGAAAATTGTTCCCAAAAAACCCTTCACAGTATAAAAAGGAATGAAAAAATTAAGTCTCTGTTAAAGTGTTCAGGACCATAAACATAAATATAAGCAAAATTTTTATTTCTATAAGAATTTATTCAATCCTCAAACTGCTTTTTACAGCAACAGAATTCCGAGAAATTACTTGGTTAAATCCAAAATGAAAAATACATACAGTAAAGGGGCTGGAGAGATGGCTCAGTGGTAAAGTTCCTTCTACTCAAGTCTGAGGACCTGAGTTTAGACACTGAGCAATCAAAGAAAAGCCAGTTGTGCACACCTGTAACTCCTTCAATAGAGGGACAGGGAGGGAAAAGAAACAGAGGTGCAGGAAGCAGGGATTTGAAGAACCCAGGGGCTTGCTGGCTAGCCAGATTAGCCAAAATGGGTGAGCTCCAGATTCAGTGAAAGACCTTATCTCAGAAAGTAAGGTAGAGATTGACTGAGGAAGATATCAACCTCTGGTCTCCATATGAGTACACACAGGTGTATGCATTCAAAAGAAAAAATATACTCTAAGAATTTTTTTTTTTTTTGAGTCACGATTTCTGTATAGCCCTGACTGTCCTGAAACTCACTGTGTAGACCAGGCTGCCTCAAATTCAGAGATAAACCTGCCTCTGTCTCTCTAGTGCTAGGATTAAAGGGCTGTGCCACCATGCCTGGGTTACTCTAAGAATTTCAACTTTATGGCTATGGCCATGTGTGGTCAGGGACAGTTAACGATGCAATTAAAGATTCACGTATTGTCTTCCCTTTGTATTTCCTATAACATTTATAAATTAAGGTTGAATAATAAGTTTGTTACACAGTGATTCCTGCCCCCCCCATTGTTCATTTCTTCTACTTATCTGTATGTAATGGAAAATGTCCCTATAGATTTAGAGACAAATCTATGTTCAGGTTCTAGTTCTATAATTAAAAGTAACATCAACTAGTGCAAATCATGTAAGCATTCTAAATCTTTCTTTCCCCATCTCTAACAGAGATAGTAAAAGTACTAAAGAAATGGTTAAGTGGCCAGGTGTGGTGATGCACACCTTTAATCCCAGCACTCAGGAGGCAGAGGCAAGTGGATGTCTATGAGTTTGAGGCCAGCCTAGTCTACAGAGTGAGTTCCAGAACAACCAGAGCTATGTAGAGAGACCCTGTCTCAAATATCAAAATTAAAATAAACAAACAAAAAATAGTGATATTTTTACAAACAGTGCTGAAATGATAATTTTAATTATAAAAATTTCTCTCTGAGATTAAGTGTCCCCAAAGCTAAAACTCTATACCACCAAAATCTTTCAGGCTGAGGTGAACATTGTATCACACAGAAGAGCAACAACATAAACAAATGAATGACAAAAATCATAGAGAAGAGTATTCACCTGCTTATCATTCACTGTCATTTTAACTTCAATGGGGATCTCGCTGCTATCTGGAGAGTCTTCTCTATTGAGGTCAAGGGGCTCAGGGGAACTTAACTGTGACTCTGTAATTTTTTAAAAAAAAGTAAATACCATTAATTTCCATTTCTCTAAAGTTTAGGGTATGATAATGCTAAACTGACAATATAGACCTAGTTTGTTTCTTCTTGAAGCTTTACTGTAACATAATTTACACACAACAGAATTCACCAATTTTTCAGTTTGTAATTTGATGGGTTTTGACTAATACATATCATGTAACTACCACAATAAAGAAAATATGTTTCCAGCATCCTATTAAAATCCTCCTATACCCTTCTGAAGTCAATTGTACAAATCTACTATATACTCCTACCATTTTGTCTTTCCTAGAATCACCTAAATGGAATCAGCCAGATGTCACAGCGGCACACACCTGTAATCCTAGCTATTCAGGAGGCTAAGAGAATTCAAGTTCAAACCTGGGACAACATAATGAGACCTGTCTTTAAAAAAGGTTTAAAAAAAAAAATCACACAGTGATTTGGTGTCATCTTTTACTTAGTATCATGTAACTGAGAGGCAGCCATGTTGTCAGACATATCAATGGTACATCCCTTTTTTCTGGTAAGTAGTACTCTACTAAATGAATACATCACAGTTTGCTTATCTACTTACCAGTTAATCCATTTGGCTCATTTCACTGTAGTCCTAGTCTCAAAATCTACTGATTTCAACAGAAACCAAAAACTGCCTATATTAGCTCTAAGGTTAAAAGGATGAATAGGGAAAACAGAAAGTAGGACAAAAAATAAGACTATGCATTCTACACAAAGATATGCCATTCTTTAATATGTTCTTTAAGCAATATCTATTAGGTGAACGTACTGATGGAATAACAAGTCCCAGGCATTGTACTACCACTATCTATTACTAACACAGAGATATAGTGTAAATCAGGAGCAGAAAACTATAGATACCTTCTGGGCCCAATCTGGCCAGCTGCCTGGTTTTGTAAATAAGGCCCTATTAGAACACAGCCATATTCATTCAGCTACATATTGTCTATGGCTGCTTTTGCAGTGAAACAGAGATGAATAATAGCTTTAACAAAATATCTAACCTAAAGAGCCTAAAATATTTACTAATCTTAAAAAAAAAGAAGTTTGGGAAAAGTTTGGTGGGGGGTCAGGGGGTGAACTAATAAAAAGATTTATTTGAAGTTGGCTAACTAGGAATTCTAGACACCTATCAATATAACAAGAGAACGACAACTGTATTTAAAATGACAACAAATCTGGTAAAGAAATGCTGTAAACTCAATGCCTATGTTCCATTCCAACTTTATGATGAAATTGTACTCCCAATGATGGTAAGAGGAAGTGGGAGGTCTTTGGGAAGTAGCCAGGTCATAAGAGTGGAGAAATAAAAAGGATGGGCTTAGTACCCTGTATCAGAACTCCAGAGAGGGCTCTCATTCTGTCTCCCATGTAAGGACATAGTAAGAGGGTACGTCCATGAACCAGAAAGTGGGTTCTCACTAGACACTGAGTCTGTCTGTGCTTTGATCTTGGACTCCCCAGCCTCCAGAAATAAATGTCTCAGAAATAAAACTTTGAGAAATAAATGTCTGTTGTTTAAAAGAAACAGTCTATGGCGTTTACTTTTCCTTTTTTTTTTTTTAATGTTTTAAATTTTATTTCCTTCTTTTATATTTGTCTGCATATATATCTGGGCACCACATGCATGTCTGCTGGCCATGGAGGCTGGAAGAGAGAAATGGACCCCCTAGAACTGTTGTTAGACATGATTGTAAGCCATGTGGGTACTTATGGTGAAGCCATGTGGGTACTTGTGGAGTACTTAAGAGGAACACTCAGTGCTCTTAACCTCTGAGCCATCTCTCTAGCCCCAATGTTTGCTTATTATAACCATAACTAAAATAAAAAATATATCTCAGAAGGTAAACCTTGTTAAGTTCTCGGTTGTTTTACTCTATACCTCTGACACTTTCATGCTTCACACATACAATGAATAGTCAACATTGGGCAAATAAACAATCTATAAGATTCTAAACTATCTTCAGAATGATTAAGGATTAAACACATTTATATTATAAACTATAGTGCAAAATTGGACAGACACACACACTTTATCCACTCTGGTAGTAAGAGGCTCACAATTCTTAAACTGCAAAATCTTCTGTGTTAAATTTCCCTGAAAGAGCTTATCACCAAATATATTGTTCAAAGATAAGAATCACTCCCCAAACAATGCTAGTACCATCCTGTGACAGACTTGATTGTCAATTTGATTGATTTAAGAAACCTAGATTAGTAAAGTACAGATGGGCATGTATGTGACTGCAGTTCCTAAGACAGTTAGATCCTGAGGGCTCTGACCCAGTTAATGGAGTCATCTCTTGGGGATTCACAATGATGGCTTTATTGAGAGACAGTAAAAGGGAAGAGGTGAGGCCTAGTTGAAAAGTATCGGCCACTGATAATTACATCCTTAGGACAATATCTTAAGTCTTTCTGTTTTTCTCTTTTCACAGGTTCTTATATAACAGCACAAGGTAAAGATGCTTCTCTGCCACACATTCCCACCATGTTTATGTTCTGCTCAAGTGCATGGAGATAAGCAATACTGACTACCCTGAAACCATGAGTCAAATTAATCTTGAGGCTCAGTGGTTAAGAGTACTGGTGCTCTTCTAGAGAACATGGACTTAACTCCCATATGGTGGCTCACAACTATCTGTAACAACAGTTCCTGGGAATCCAGTCCCCTCTTCTGGTCTCCATGGGAACTGCATGCATATGGTGCACACACTCCATACACATACAAACAGTGCTAGCTAATAAGAGAGGGGAACAGTAAGCTCTTCCTAAGTGAAGTTAGGTAGCTTTTATGATCATGACTCCCTACCATTAGCTTAGAGGTTAAATCCAATTGTTTGCTGACCTAAACCACTTCCATGTCGGTGCTAAGATTCAAACCTGGGTTCTCTGGAAGAGTAGACAGTACTGCTAACTGCCAAACCATGTCTTCAGCCCCTAGGACTTTCTGTTTATTTTTTTAATTAGTATACAAAACAATGGTTTTTACTATCACATTTTATATAAACTTTTTTTTTTTTTTTTTTTTTTTTTGGTTTTTCAAGACAGGGTTTCTCTGTATAGCTTTGTGCCTTTCCTGGAACTCAATACTTATTTTTATGACCCTCCTCCCTCACTCCTTCCCCATGCCCCCTCCACTACTCATACCCTTCCTATTTGCATTTTCATGTATATTCTATTACCTTAATTTTCCTTAAGAAATCTTTTTGCTCTCCCATGGTCCCCGTTTTAGTTTTATGACCTATCTCACACCCCTTTACATACATGTAAAAATTAAAATCTATTAGCTAAGACTTTGACAATCATTATATTTGCAGGTTTTTTCTGAAAGATGCCACAATGACATCATATGCCAGCATCTCAAACAGGTAGATTGAGTGACTTCCCAGAAGGATGGCAAAATTCAACAGTTCCAGACAGAAAAGGGGATAGTTTTCTTTTCACAAAGACAGCACCACATTCTTAAGTGCCCTTGCCAAAATCAGAGCACTTTGTTAATGGAGTCTCTTAGTAGGTATCATTAGGCAGTAATCCAAATACATTTCAAATGTATTAAGAAAACACTTTCATTAAAAACCAACACTACTTACATTCTTAAAACAATAAAAAACCTTTTTGATAGGCTGCCAAGTGTTTTAAAGTATTTATAGGATTTTTCCTAGAGTACATGTTAACTAAGTTTTAGTCTTTGTAGGGAAAAAAAATTGAAGAAATTAAAAGAAGAAAACTATGAATACTCTGACAGGCTACGTGTGTTCTAAAGGAACCCAAATATGACTCTGAGTAACATTTGTACACTACTTGTTTTCCAGTGAGTTTCAATATTAGTAGGTAGTTCCTTAATATCACATGAATGAGAGTCCTGAGTAATACAATGGGCTCCACTTTTAAGAAAAAGGAAGGAAGGAAGGAAGGAAGGAAGACCAGCAAAACAAATTCTTCAGAAAGTAAAAATGGTTCATTTAGCAAAATAATTATTCATATCATACAATGACTCATCAAAGAGTTCCCTTAGACAGTGGCTATTTTAGTTCATTTTATATCGTTTTACATATCTAAATCCATCCACATAAAACTCTGAATTAGTATGTCTTATGCCTAAGCAAAGTATATATCTCCATTTTTATAATTATAAACTAAAGCATTTAACCAGATCTTGTCTATAATTAAAACTATGCCAGCCACAAAACTGCACAAAAAAATTCAGTTCCTGAATTCATAAAACCTCAAACGGCAGTATCAAACTAACTACTAAAGGGCTTTGCTTAATAATGAAGGTGACTTGAGAACAGCCTAACTTGGCTCTGAATTCGCTAAGTAAGGATTATTCTTGATACTTGTTGCTTCTTCAGATCACATGGTAGGCAAGTGAGCAGACAAAAAAGCCAATTAATCTCAAAACCAAATTACCCCCAAGCAGAAAATAAGGGTGATAATCAGAACCTGTGTAACAAAGCTATTAGGGTCTTGCCCTAAAAGCTTTCTCTCAGGGTTGGAGAAACGCTCTACAAACCAACAAAGGAATCTAGCAGGGTATCGGAATAAATCTCACACCATGATTCCTCTGTCCATGTCTCTTTATTTTCTCCATCTTCTCTTCTCTCTCGTTCTACCCTGAGTCTCCAAAGTTTTTAGTTTTATACATATACAAAACAAGGGCAAGTCTCTGGAAATTGCAGTTAAAGAGATTGGATGTTTCTTTATCTCTGCAGGTTCCAAATGTGATCTATTTGAAAGACTCCTTTCCTAACTATGTGTCCTGCCAAATGGGAGATAATCGTAGGGAGCTAGCTTTTAACATCTGTCTCAGAGAAGGGGGTGGAGATTAGGCTGTGGGAACCAAGGTTATTGACTACATGACTGCCCTACGGAGTGTGTGTGGCGCGGGGGGTGTGGAGGCGGGTACTACCCAGCACATGGGAGAAATTATGCCCAGTAAATAATCAAAGAACTGCTATGCCATGGGAATAGATCCCAAAATTGTAATGATGGAAGAAAGCTTATGGCTTCACATGGGAGATCTATAGCAGGAAACAGTCAAATCATCCAAAAAGCAGTTAACGCTAAGAAGTCTTACGTTCCTTGGTTTAGACCTCCATCAGAGTCCTTGGTGCTGTGGGATATCTTTCTGTACACTGTGAATATGTGTGGCTACCACTGGATAATAAATAAAGCTGTTTTGGCCTATGACAAGAAAGCTTACAGCCAGGTGGGAAATCCAAGCAGATACAGAAAGAAGAGTGTAGTCAAGAGAGACTCAAGCCTGCTACTGAAGGAGCAACAAGATGTGTCAGCAGATCAGTAACACCACAGCCATGTGGCAACACATAGATTTATAGAAATGGGTTAATTTAAGATGAAAGAGCTAACTAGCAAGAAGCTGAAGCCATAGGCCATACAGTTTGCAGTTAATATAAGCCTCTGAGTGATTATTTTATAAGCAGCTGTGGGACCATGGGGCCGGGTGGAACTGGAGAAATTTCCAGCTACACCTTGTCTCTGGTGGGTTGGCACTTTTGTGAAGGCTGAGTTTCTCACTGCATATCCTGTGGCCCTCAGCACCTGTGTCCACTAGAAACATGTATGTGAGCATATATGTGTATATATACTAGCAATAAACACACACGCACATAAATCACACATAATCCTCCTGAGAATGGTTTGAATAGTCAAAAAATTTAGTAGGAATGAAAAGGTAGGTAAGTAATATCAGAAATTCAGTGAAGTCATGGTTTGCTTACCAGGACAAACAGTGATTTCCTCTGCAGAACCTTCTGGCATAAGGACTAAACTTCTCTTACTGGTCAAAGCTGCAATGCTGAAACAGAACCAAATGTAAGTGAACTCCTTCCTCATAGAAGAAAGTGGAGCACAGGTCCACAAGCAATAGTGGGGTCGTTTACAAAGCCACAAGTGAACTGACACATCCTGTACAACATCACAATCAGAAAGCAAGGAGTCTACAGTCCAAGTAGGCCAGAAATAGGGAAAATAAGCACGCTTACAACTTTGGTTCCAGTGAAACCACTGAATGAAAAGAAGCACCCTTTTGTAGTCTCCACAGAAGGTTTAAAGGGTAAGAACTACCAGTGACTATCAGAGAAGACAAAAATTATACTACAGTATAAAAATGTCAAAGGTATTTTGCAGTCTGGCTACCAGTTAAAGCTTCTGGAGGCAAGAGACATAAAAACTCAGAAAACATGGAGATTCTCCTGACAGCACAGCAGTTTTTCCTCACCTTACGTTAAAGTTCTCTTTATCTCAAGATATAGCTTTCCAAGCTACAAAAATAAAATAAAATCCCAAAGTGTCCTACAGCAAAAATCTGCCCACACAAGTTGACTACCTCTTCTGGGAAAAACTTAATTATGAATAGCTTCTCTTATCTAGCCTTCTGTTTTTTCCTGCCTGTTTTTTCATGGAGTGTGATCTCTTTCTGACATCAGAACACATGGCTGAGAGATCTGAGCATCTGAAACAGTCCCCTCATGCTTCACAGAGTTTTATGATTAGTTTGATCAAGTATGCAAGAAGACACTTAAAAACACAAATCCTCTCATCAACCAAGAGCCACAGAGAAGAGACAATAGCCACCACTGAGACTCATGATAAATAACTAAATCATGACAGGAAACCACAAGTGATTTCTCTCCCTAAATAAAACATTTTAGAGCATTTGTTATAAACCCAAGCCAGACACAGTTTTACTCTGCATGTAACATTAGGGCTCTATTCAAAAAGTCCATCACAAGACAATTTGCTGACATTTATAAAATGGGCTAATCAATTTGAAGTCAAACCACATTGTATGTGATTTCAACTCCCTCCTGGTGACAAAGCATACAATCATTTATTAAAACCTACATCTGCTCTACACAGGCTTACCACAATAAAACAGAGAGGCCTACAGAGAGCAGAACACCAACTCCAGTTTAAAACATTTCCAAAAGTGTCTTAACAGCAGAAGAATCAAACCAACTCCATATTCTTCAGCTTAGGGATAAACACCTAGTACTAGCCACCAAATGCTTAACAAAGACCACTACCTAAATTCTAGTAATGGCAACTGGGCCATATGAGAGATAACAGCCATTCAATACAAAGATCAACTCTTGAGAAATCCCCAAACAAACTGTCAGACAAAGGGGGAAAGTGGTTGGAAACCTGACCCAGTTAATAACCAATTAACCATTATCTATTATTAAAGAAAAAAAGATTGGGAAAGTAACCCCATCAACTAATCATCAAGAATAGAGGAAGCAGGGTAACAGCGATGGCTCAATGGTTAAAAGCACTCACTGACTGCTCTTCCAGAAGACTTGCGTTCAATTCCCAACACCCACAGGGCAGCTCACAATTCTCTGTAACTCCAAAATCTGACACTCTGACATAGATATATATTCAGGCAAAGTGCCAATGCACATAAAAATAAAAATAAATAAAATTTTTAAAAATGGAAGAGGTAATGCAAATACATAGATAGCTATAGTATCAAATAAGACACTAACTAGAGCTGGGCGGCGGTGATGCACACCTTTAATCCCCAGCACTTGGGAGACAGAGGCAGGCGGATCTCTGTGAGTTCAAGGCCAGCCTGATCTACATATTCTGTATTTATGTGTGTGATTTTTTTCTCCCTCCATGCTTAGGAGGATTTAAAATTGTTTAGTGTGTGTGTGTGTGTGTGTGTGTGTGTGTGTGTGTGTGTGTGTGTGTGTATACATGCACAGGCATGGGGATCAGAGGACAGTTTTTCTGAGTCTGTACTCTCCTTTGTAGCTGGAGTTTTCCTGCCTGGCCCACAGTCAGGACAAATCTCTCTCACCTGCCAGTCCCACAGCCACTCAAACCCGACCAAGTAAACACAGAGACTTATTTTGGTTACAAACTGTATGGCCGTGGCAGGCTTCTTGCTAACTGTTCTTACAGCTTAAATTAATCCATTTCTATTAATGTATACCTTGCCACGTGGCTTGTGGCTTACCGGTACTTTACATCTTCCTTGTCCTGACGGCAGCTGGCAGTGTCTCCCTGACTCAGCCTTCCACTTCCCAGCTCTATTCTCCTCCTTGTCCCACCTATACTTCCTGCCTGGCCACGGGCCAATCAGTGATTTATTTATTGACCAATCAGCAACACATTTGACATACAGACCATCCCACAGCACTCCTTCTACTACAATGTCTGGAAATCAAACTCAGGTTATCAGGCTAGTGCAGTAAGCACCCACTGAGCCACTGAGCCCTATTATCCAGGATTTTTTTTGTTTTGTTTTGCTTTTTGAGATAGGGTTTCTTCATGTAGGCCTACATGTCTAAAAATCTATGTAGACCAGGCTGGACTCAAACTCACAAAGATCCTCCAATTTCTGCCTCCCTAGTAAAGGTTCTTGTTTTGTTTTTGTATTGTATTAAATTTTTTTAATGTCTTTACTTGCTATTTCTCTTCAAATATATATCTAATTTTGTTTATCCATTCTTTTCCATTTAGGAAAAAACTTTTCCCTAGTTTCTTAAGATAGGATCTCAATGTGTAGCCTTAACTGGCCTAGAACTTATTATGCAGACTGGCCTGCCTCTGCCTGGGAAGAGCTAGATTAAAGGCATGCACCACCAGTGCCTAGCTTTCTTCTTCACTTTTTCTGTTGTTTTGTTTTGTTTTTTGCCCAGTGATTCCTTCTTTTCCTCCGGCTCTCTACATTTAATCTCTTGAGTTTACCTTATTGACTTTCTAATATTCTTATATTTTTATTTTTTTACTCCTCATTCTACATTTATTAAAATTTGCTTTTGAACTCTTCTATTCAGTGATGCTTTCTTTCTTACTCTCATGCTCTTGTCTCTCCCCACCCCCCAAAAACTACTGAGCTAAATCCCCAACCCTCTACTCCATTTCTTATTTTTCCTTCCATCTATTTAATTTTGTTCTCCCATTTTCTCCCCTTCTCCAGTCTCCTTATTCTCTTGCTATTTCCACACTTACTTTAAAGAATAATTAACTTTATACCACATTCTACAATATGGCATTTTCAGCTATATTGTCATTGGTGATTATACATTAGTGAACTGTAATTGATTTATCTGCATTTCTATGTCTCATATAGTTTGATGGTATTGCTGCTATAGCAGTGTGTTTCCTCCTGAGTATATACCTTCAAGAGCCTTGAGGCAGGGGGAGGGGCTTGGACTTGCCTCTACTGGATGTGCCTCCTCATGGGAGGCCTTGCCTTCTTATGGAGGGGAGTAGGGGGTGGATTGGGAGATGGAGGCTGTGGGGGCAGGAAGAGGAAAGAGGGGGATCTTTGATTGGTGTGTAAAACAAATGGAAAAATTTTCTTAATAAAAAAAAAAGATACAAAAAAAAAAAGAGTAGGCTGTTCAATAAGATCTACCTCTAAAATCCAGAAGAGCTAACCAATCCAACAGACACATAAATTGTAACAATGAAATGCAAAAAACATAGAAAGTCAGGACAACACAACTCCTCCAAAAGACTATAATCCTCAACTATGGAAATGTACAATGAAGCGCTCAAGTGTTTTCTGGTAAAAATGACCTATGATCTAACATAGCACACAAACAAAGCAGATTTAATCCAGGAATGGAAAGTCAGCAGCATGGAGGGGAAAAAACAGCAAAATCAATGAAAAAAATCATCAATATGGATACAAAAGCCACAAAGAGGAGAAATTCAGAGATTTTTGAAAGGAAGGGAGAGAGGAAGTAAAGGAAAGAGAAGGAGAGGAGGGAAGGAGAGAAACAAAAGAAAGAAGAGGAAGGGAGGGAGGAAGAAAGAGAGGGAGGAAGGAAGGAATTGAAAAGCTTATGAATAAAAAATGAAGTAGAGGTGCTGGAAAGATGGCTCAGTAGATAAGAGCACTTACTGCTCCTACAGAGGACCTGGGTTGGGTTCCCAGCACCCACAGGGCTTGCAACCATCATTTGAAACTCCAGTTCAGGGGATTCAATGTCTCTTCCTACCTCTGTAGGCTCCTGCACATATGCAGTGCACATACATATACCCAGGCACACACACATACAATAAAATAAGCATTTTTTTTAAGTAAAGTGGAAGGCATCACCAGTAGATTTGACTAGGCAGAAGAAAGAATATCAAGGGTAGAGGACAAAGTGAAACTAATTCTAGATTCAATTATTACTGAGGAAAAAAATAAATGAGCATTACCACAACATCTAAGAATTCTAGGATAGCAGGTATGGTGGCACAAATCTTTAGTCCCAACACTAGAGAGAGAGAGGCAGGTGGATCTCTGTGAGTAGAAGTCCAGCCTGATCTACATAGTGAGCTTCAGGACAGCCAGGCTACATAATGAAATGAGACCCTGTCTCGAAAAAACAATCAAAAAAGGATCCATATGATGGGCATATGATAGAAGACAGAGCTACTATGAACACTAAAAGCATAAACTATTCAATGACACTACAGCAGAACATTTCCCAAACCTACAGAAAGAAACGGACTCTCAAACACAAGAGGCATTTAGAACACCCACAGACATGACCAGAGAAGAACCCCTGTACAAGTTATAGTCAAGAGGTCAAACATATAATGTAGGGGCTAAGGAAATGACTCAAACATTTAAAGTGCTTGACACACCAGTCTAAGAACCAGAGTTCGGATCCACAGAAACCCACTTAAAGGTTTGGTGGGTATGGCAGTGACCTGCAATTCCAGTCTCAAAAGGCTAAGATGGGGATTCCCAGAGCTAGCTGGCTAGCAAGACAAGTTATACTGGCAGGCTATGGGTTGAACTGAGACAGTCTGCCTCAATGAATAAGGTAGAAGTGTGATCCAAGAGGGATACTATATGAGCTTCCACATGTGCATACCCACCCATATGCAAAAACATGAATACATACACATGAAAATAAAAAAAGAAAAAAATACAAAGCAAAGAAACAATATTAAAAGCTGTAAAGGAAAACCATCAACTCACCTACAAAGGCAAAAACATCACAATAGTATCAGGCTCTCATCAGCACTGCTCAAAGCCAGGGGAACATGGGAAGATGTGATTTTAAGCACTGAAAGTAAATCCCTGCCACCCAAGAATGTTAAATTTAGCAAAGCTATCTTTTAAAACTGACAGAAAAATAATAGCATTTCAAGACAAGCACAAACTAAGGCAGTTCATGACCACCAAGCTCGCACAGCAGAAGATATGTAGATGAATACTATACATAAAGAAAGAAGAAAAGTCAGTCTTAATTATAAGAGCACATGAAAGATTATATTTTAGGAGAGGGATGACCAAACAAATGAGATCTAGGAAGGAAACCATCATGTCCAACACTGTAAACCAGCAAACCCATGATACTAATAGGGAAGAAAGAACAAACAGTAATTCAACCAACCACAAGACAACCAACAAAACTACAGGAATTAATAAGTATCTCACTATAATAACTTTAAACATAAATGGCATTAATTCACCAATAAAGAGACACAACACAGACTGACTTATTCCAACCTCCTGTTGTCTCCAGGAAAAAGCCAAGAGATAGAAAATTCAAGCAGACACCCAAAGCAAGCTGGTAGAGTTATTCTGGTATTTGATAAAGTAGACTTCAAACCAGAATTAGTCAGGAGACATAAACGTCACTACATATTAAAAGGGAACAATTCACCAGGCATGGTGATGCATGCCTTTAATCCCAGCACTTAGAATACAAAGGCAGGTGGATCTCTTTGAGTTCAAGGCTAGCCTGGTCTACATAGTAAGTACCAGGACGGCCAGAGCTATGCAAAGAGACCCTGCCCCCCAAAAAAAGAAAGAAAAAAGGTCGGGAGGCAGAGCCAGGCGGATCTCTGTGAGTTCGAGGCCAGCCTGGACTATCAAGTGAGTTCCAGGAAAGGCGCAAATCTACACAGAGAAACCCTGTCTCGAAAAACCAAAAAAAAAGAAAAAACAAAATAAAACAAAAAAACAGAAAAAAGCCTTTCAATTCTATCTCACTTGAGCCAGAATCAATAAAGCAAATAACAACAAATGTTGGTAAGGATGCAGGGAGATTTAAATTTTATAGCCAATACTATCAATATGGAGACTCCAAGAAAGACAAACAGAAAGAAGGATGAAAGGAAAGACAGGAGGGAGGGAAAGAAAGAGAGAGAGGTGGGGTGAGGGAAAGAGAGACAGCAAGAGCAAAAAAGAGAGAGAAAAAGAGATAGAGAACAGAATTACCATATGATCCAGCACATTATACCTATGCATCCGAAGAACTCTAAGTCAACATACCATAGAGATACTTGCATATCCATGTTTAAAGCCACACTATTCACAATAACCAAGAAATGGAATCAGCCTAGATTTCAACCAATGAATGACAAACAAGATACATATACACAATGGAAAAAAATGAAATCATGACATTTGCAGGAAAAAAATGGATGCAAAGTCACCATTAACCAAAATAAGCAGATTCAGAAAAACAAAGACCATATATCATGCTCTCTCATATGTAAAACCTAGATTATACACATAGTATAAATCTAATATGTAATAAATACATGATAATGTACATTTGTAGAGCATGAAACTAATAAGGGGATCATGAGAGAGGAGGAAGAGACTTTAAGAAAGGGGAGAAACAGAGAAAGTAATGGGCTAACCAGAAGAAAGGGTGTAACTAGCCAGGGGAGAGGACACAGAGAGGACAGAGAGAGAGGAAAGTGAATGAGAACAACTGTACAAATACATGAAGATGACATGAAACCTATTATCTGTATGCTAATCTAAAAGGAAAAAGTAACATAAGCAGAGAGAACCAAAGGAGAAAGAAGACAGGAAGATAAGCCATAAAGAAACAGTATAGGAAGCTAGAATTAGAGAACAGCAAGAAATAAACCAGGTAAAATATATACCAAGATGGCTAGAGTGGTTAAGAAAACCTTTATGATCTCTTTCAGGCTTAATATTTTAGGCTTCTAAGAGATGCAGATTTGTTCCAGGCAGTGGTGATGCTTACCTTTAATCTCAGCACTTGGAGGTAGAGGTAGACAGATCTTTGAGTTTGAGGCCAGCCTAGTCTACATAGAGAGTTCCAGGAGAGTCGGGGCTGTTATACAGAGAGATTCTGTCTTGAAAAACAAAAAACAAAAACAAAAACAAAAAAGGGAGAGAGAGATGCCTATTTGCATACTTAGAGCTAAAAAATGATTTCCAGTCTTGACGCATAAAGGAGATAAAAGTTCCCTGTCAAGTTTTCCATGTAGTCTCTTTCAAGCAGTTCATCTTCCTTATGCTATACCATAGGAAGAGACCTGAAACCCACAGAAAATACAAGCTCACCTTTGTGAGGGAGGCACAAAATTTCCTTCTTCAGAACTCTTCAGAACTTCTTCAGAAGTTTCTTCAACAAATAGACCTTGGGAAGACTGTAAAGAAACAGGAAACACCCTAAATACACAGACGAACCTATTCTTCCCTTGTTATTATTTATTTTGTGCATGTTTATATGTGCACGTGGAAGCCAGAGGTCAACCTTGGGTGTCATTCCTCAGAGGCTAGCCACCTTGGGTTAGTGTGTTCAATTTTGTTGTGGTTTGTTTGCAACAGAGTCTCACTATGTGTAGACTAGGCTGGCCTCCAGCTCAGAGAGATTCTCTTCTGGTATTAAAGGCACAAGCTACCACACCAGGCCATATCCACCTTGTTCTTTGCTATTTTTGTTTTGTTTTACATTTATCTTTGGGAGAAGGAGTGCACATGAGGAGTTCAAAGGGCAAGTTGCAAGAGTCAGTTTCCACTTTCCGCCATCTGGATTCTGAGAATCAAATTCAGGTCATCAGGTCCCTCTTTCCTGGTGATGACAAGCACCTTGTTTCTTAAGACAGCCTCTCTCATTGCCTGAAGCATCCCAAGTGAACTAGGTTAACTTGTTAGCCCCAGGTCTCCATCCATCTCCAACTCTCCAGTACTAGACATAAAAGTGAGTGCCAGCCACTACACCCAGCCATTTTTCATGGGTTCTGGAATGGAACTCAGATTCTCAAGTTTATATGGTAATCAGTTCCAAATGAGCATTCTCCTCAGTCCTAGTTTCTTCCTTTAAAAAAAAAAAAATCTAGACTGGGCGGTGGTGGCGCACGCCTTTAATCTCAGCACTAGGGACATAGAAGTAGGAATATCTCTGTGAGTTCAAGGCTAGGCTGGTCTATAGAGTGAGTTCCAGGACAGCTAAGGCTACACAGTGAAACCCTGTCTCAGAAACCAAAACAAAACAGAATAAAACAAAGGCCAGGCATGGGCTAGCACTTGGGAAGCAGAGGCAGGCAGATCACTGTGAGTTCAAGGCTAGCCTGGTATATTCAGTGAGTTCCATGAAGAAAGCAACTAATGCTACTTTAAGTTGGCTTTCTGAGAAAGTACCTTGGCTATGAAACTTCTTCCAGGAAAAGCTTCTTTAGCTACTCAATAAAGTTTTCAGGGTTTCTTACATCTTATCAATACCCCAAATAAGTAAGGGATCCCTCTATGATTCTTTTTTTTTTTTTTTTTTTTGGTTTTTCGAGACAGGGTTTCTCTGTGTGGCTTTGCGCCTTTCCTGGAATTCACTTGGTAGCCCAGGCTGGCCTCGAACTCACAGAGATCTGCCGGCCTCTGCCTCCCGAGTGCTGGGATTAAAGGCGTGCGCCACCACCGCCCGGCCCCTCTATGATTCTAATAAATGATGAAATTTAAAAGGAGAGGAGGAAGTGAGTGGGGGAAAGGGAAGGAAAGTTGTACACTGACTGGAAATGTGGTTACGCCATCAAACAATACTGTCTGAACTACAATGCAGCATCAATGGCCCAGCAAGAAAAGGGCACTTGCTACCAAGTCTGACAACCCGAGTCTGATCCATGGGACTCATACAGCAAAAGGAGAGTACTGGCTCCCCACAAGTTATCCTCTGACCTACAAACACACTCACATGCACACACACAAATAAAATGTAACTTTCTAAAAACTTTTTCATTAAAATATAGCAACAATAAATAATGCACCCAACTCTTTGAATTAAGCAATGAATTTTTTTTTTTTGGAGAAACAAAAGGATGCACTGACACCTAGTGTTCACATAACAGAATTTTGTTGATTTAGAGAACTAGAGAGATGGCTCAAAATTAAAAGCATGTACTGCTAGAGAAGCAGAAGTCGAGCAACTGAAAAAAGAACTGATTCCACAAGTTGTCCTCTGACCTTCACTGTTGATAAATACATAAATGTCTTTAAAGTGTGTTTCTTTAAGTAAAGTGAAAAATAATAAAGACAATGTCAATCTCTGACCTCCAACCTCTAACACATACAAACACACACACACACACACACACACACACACACACACACACACACACACACACACACAAAATCCCAAAAACCAGATAGGATTGTTAAAGAAGAATGTTCTCTATGGGCAGCCCCTAAGTGTTGCACAAGGCAATTTAATAAAATTCATTTTAATTACTGTAATTCCATAAAGATGCAGCTGAAGAGATGGCTCAACAATTAAGAACACTTGCTGCTCTTGCAGAGAACCCAGGTTCGGTTCTCAGCACCAACATGACAGCTCAAAACCATCCCTAAATTCCTTCTGAATACTATAAAAGCATCATATAACTGCAAACTCATTATCAACTATAATTTTCAGAGTATTCTGTTTTATAATTCAAGTGTTTTCTATTGCTATTTCTGTTATCAGAATTTTTGAGTTTCTCTTGTTTGGTTTTCCTTATAATAAAGATTTATGAAGTGCTAGCTTCATACTCCTAACAGTATAATTTTGATGTTTGTATTTTAGTAATTTTGTGTCTTTTAGCAAGTCATTTAATCTCAATTTTTACATCTAGAAAATGGGAATAACAATTCCTATCTTTAAGCAGTTTTAAAGGAAGAGAAACAAGATACAAGTTTTCATATATAACACTATCTAGCCATATTAGAAACAGACTAAGGCAAAAACCTAAATGTCCCAAAATGGAGATTGGTATCATTAGAGAAAGTCACCAGAAGCAAAATCTAAATATATCATGGTGAGAGGGAGAATAAACTGGGAAATTGTCTCAACTCATGTCAAAGACTATCTCCCCTAGGATTAACATGGTGGAAGAAGGAAACTGACCCCTGCAAGTTGTCTTCTGACCTTGTACATGCTATGGCATTTGTGCACCCAGGAAAGCGCACGCACACACAATAAACAAACAAACCATTTGTTTTGTCTTTCAAGACAGGGTTTCTTTGTGCAACAGCCCTGGCCTGGATTTTGTACACCAGGCTAGTCTCCAATTCAGAGATCCATCTGCCTCTGCCTCCCAAGTGCTGGGATTAAGCAATAAACTGTGTAGATGAAATTTTCTCTGTTCAGGGTAATAACACAGTACTACTTGTGATAGGAAAATGTTAGAGACAACCTACATGAATAAGCTACAGTTTATCTAATACAGTACATCCCCTATATCAAATAAACGGGTAAATTGAGTATAGTTAGGGAATGAACTCAGAATTGCAAAACAAAAAGGGCAGAGTAATGTGTATAGTAAACTACCATTTGTAGAAATACAAGGCAAGGAGCTAAGGATGTATCTCAGTTGGTAGTGCTTGTCTAGTATGCATGAAATCCTGGATGCCATCCCCTGCACTATATAAAGCATGACAATACTTGCCTATAACCCAACCCCAGTACTCTGGAGATGGAAGGAGGACCCCAAGTTCAAGGTCATCCTTCTACTTAACAAGTCTAAGGCCAGGCTGGGCTACATGAGAACCTATGTGAACTGAAGCTCCCAGAAAAAGAGCGACATCTACAGTGAACATTCTACAAGGCTGTTTAACTGATTATAACATCAATGACTGTGGAAAGACTGTAATGTTGCATGTCCAGGGCCAAATTATCTTAGCCCCAAAGTAGCTATTTATTGCTCACCTGTGTGTGTGACTTAGCATCCTCGTGACGATTAGGAAATGGAATGTATGAAGAGATTCCTAGCTTCCACCAACCCAAAAGCTAAAAATCAGAAAGTATCTAAGGCCTACATAGAGGTTTCTCCATTTTACTACAATCCACCTACCTGATGTTCCCACCAATGATTTGAAAAATAGGCTTTTTTCTTTAAAGACTTATTATTTTTTTTATTTATTTATTTATTTTTTTTTTTTGGTTTTTGGTTTTTGGTTTTTGGAGACAGGGTTTCTCTGTGTAGCTTTGCGCCTTTCCTGGAACTCGCTTTGGAGACCAGGCTGGCCTCGAACTCACAGAGATCCACCTGCCTCTGCCTCCTGAGTGCTGGGATTAAAGGCATGCGCCACCACCCGCCCGGCTTATTTTATTATTTTTATTGTGTAAAGGTATGTGTCTGCATGTGAGTATGTGTGCATTGAGTGCAGGTATCCTCAGAAGACAGAGGTGTCCAATCACCTGGATGAAGCTATGCTGGGAATTACATCCTGGTCCTCTGGAAGAGGAGAAAGTGCTCTTTTAACTGCTGAGCCATCTCTCCAGGCCCCTTGAAGGTGTTCTGATCTATAACTTTCTTTGTTCAATTACTATAAAATCTTCATAAAACTGATACCTTACTGGAATATGAAATATGGGATAACCTAATCTGTGTTCTGAAGCCATAGCAACTCATATTTGGCTGCAGAATAAACTAATTCTTATGCCTTCTGAAATAAGAGCTGTGTTTTTTGCATTGACACTTGTCTAAAAATATATGTATTTTTTTTTAATTCAAGAAAAAGTATTTTTTTTGTTTTGTTTTTCGAAACAGGGTTTCTCTGTGTAGCTTTGCACCTTTCCTGGAACTCGCTTTGGAGACCAGGCTGGCCTCGAACTCACAGAGATCCACCTGCCTCTGCCTCCCGAGTGCTGGGATTAAAGGTGTGCGCCACCAACGCCCGGCGTATTTTTTTTATATTACATAAAGTATCATGGAAGGTACACTAAAATTAGCAGCATGGATCGAGTCCAGTATGGGAAATGTCTGGCTATAAATTGTAGATGAAAGACAAATATATTTTTAATTTACATTTCCTAGAATTTTTTAAAATACTGCCTGTAGAAAAACATTTTAAAAATAGCAACTTTAAGCAAGGTGGTGGTGGTGGCAGCGGTGACAGTGGCAGTGGCGGTGGCGGTGCTCGCCTTTAGTCCCAGCACTCGAGAGGTAGAGGCAAGTGGATCTCAGTGAGTTCAAGGCCAGCCTGGTCTACAGCATGAGTTTCAGAAAAGCTAGGACTATACAGAGAAATCCTACCGTGAAAGAATAAAAAGTTTGAAAAGAAAATATGGTATATCCTAACAAGATGGAATAATGTTTTGATGTATATCTGATAAGTAAAGATTTTTGATAAATTATAAAATAAATGAACAAAGTTTATACATCTTGCTCAAAAATTTAAAAGAAAAATGAGTTTTATATGTTTAGAAATGATGATGATTGTCTTTTGGTGGGTGAACTGCAGGTAAGTATTATAATTTTTCCTTTTTTGAGACAAGGTCTCACAATGTAGCCTAGGCTGGCCAGGATGCCTCAGCCTTCTTAGTGATGAGATTATAGGTATGTTACCACCACACCTAAGCTCTTTTCTTCTTTTTTGCACTTTTCTCATTTTATATAGTAAGCATGGTAAGCATATATTGTTTTAATAAGCAGATAGCGGAAAGACCACAAAAAAATAGTTAAAATAACCCATATTTTATCTGTAAATAAATGATCCTTAGTTATAGCATCACTGACCCTTACCTGACCATGACTGGTTGTTGGTTCTTCCTCCAACAAAAGTTTCTGTTTCAAGCTTTTAATTGGACTTTTTTGTAAATCCTTGGTTTTTGAGTGCCAGACAGATGCCCTAGATTCCTGCCTTTCCTCTTTGGCTTCATCTCCCATATCTTCTGAGATGCCTTCATTGTTTTCACTAGTCTCATCTTCTTGGCCACATTCATTCTGGATCAGAAAAGGAGGTCTAGGTAACACTGGTTCCCCAAACCCTCTTTTTTTAATAAGCTGCCTCTGAGCCATTTTTAGGCTCTTCTGATAAACCTCCAACTGGCAGAGAATGACATTGGTATATTGGTTAGGATCTACTCCAGCAGGGCAGAATGGAATACCCCAGTAGTAGTGCACAGTGCCCCCAATGTCCTGGAGTCCTTTGGTGTCTGCTGGGGTAGAAAGACATTGCCTAGATGTGTCCCCCCTACCCTGGACAGCTTTGGAAAAAGCATAACCACTCCCAGTACTTTCCTGTGGCTTCCCACACTGTGTGTGCTCAGTCAAGTGGCCAGTACATCTGTCAAAACATTTAACGTTCTCATTCTCAAACACTGGCTGGCTTGACTGGTCCCAGCTTCCTGAGCTGCCCGAGACAGGCTCCTCTTCAGTGTTTTCATTGTGGTCCCAGGGCTCCTTTCTTTCCTCAGCCTCGTTTCCCTGACTGATATGTGAGCCTTTAAACAGTGATGGAGGTACCAGCTGCCATATGCCTGTAGGTATTTGAGAAAAAGTAAGGCTAAGGACAAATTTTTTTTTCAGTTAAGACAACTTGGTAAGCTATAACTTACCAAGAATTACAAAATGTGGTTACAAAAAGCCCTTCTTTGACTTTAGCCAAAGGGTGGTTTTTCCTTGAAAATAAAAGTATGTTGGATATTAATGAAATTTCAACTATTTATGTTTGAACCTCTTTAATATTATAATAAGGATTTGGGGCATCTCTACTCTCAGCAGACGATCCCAGTGATATAGTTATACTTGATGAGTGGAAGGAGTCAGAACAGGAAGACATGCCTTCAGTGGTTCCAGAATCTTTGGTGTTCTCTTGATGGGAATGTGAAGATGGTCCAGTAGCCAGAGGTCGAGATCTGGTAGCAGAAGCATCAGAAGACCAGCAACTCTGAAACAAGTGATCCCGTACCAGACCAGGTTTATTATTAAAATAGCTGTATATGAAGAGTCACAGGAAGAACAAAAACGGTAGGCACTGTCCCTAGGAGTTTCTCCTCTTCAAAATACAGCTGCTCAATTCAAACGAATTCCCCAATGTGAAGTGAATGCCTATATATATTTACTATACCGTTTCTAATATGAAGGGTATATAGTATAAAGAATGAATATATATGTCAAACTGGACATATATATTCACATGGTGATACACGCCTGTAGTCCTAAGCTTTTCAGAAGGCTGAAGTGGGGAACAGCTCGAACTTACAAGTTCAATGCCAGTCTTTCAACTCTAGGAGATTCCAGCTCAAACAAACAAGCTAACAAGTAAACAGAAATCAAGGATGGCTCAGAATCTGCCACTGGCAAGTATCCTTAACATTTAAAATCATTTCTATTGCATATATTCAAATCATAATTTAATATTATTTGTTGTTGTTGTTTTTAATGTGCATTAGTGTTTTGCCATGGGGAGTTTCAGGTCCCCTGGAACTGGAGTTACAAACAATTGTGAGCTGTCACGAGGGTGCTGAGAGTTGAACCCAGGTCCTTTGGAAGAGCAGCCAGTGCCCCTAACTGCTGAGCCATCTCTCCAGTTCCTTATTTGGTTATTTTTAAAACTGCCCATTCTTTCTCTCCTTTTCTTTGCTGTCCCCACAAATGAGGGAGGTAAACACCTGGCCTTTAGTATTCTTGGTATTCTGCAACTCTTCAGAAGCTGGCCACTTACTATGATCCTTTAAAGCCATTGACTGAAATAATCTGTGGAGTGGAAGCAAACTCATACAGCAACAAAACACTTCAAATTGGATTAACCAGCAATTCAACAATGCAGACTTAAAAAAAAAAAAGTTCTGAGATATAGTTAGTTGAAAATTCTATAAACTACCATATCTCGTTTCTAATACAACTATACCAAACACTAAGTAACTAAGAACATTATTAATAAATCCCATAAACTTTCAACACAGCATATATTTACATTCAGGCTTTCAGCAATGGCTTTCCTCAAGAGCTCCTCTTCTTTCTCCTCCTGGCTGTTCACCTCCCTAGCTTCCTGCTCACTCATTTTGAGAGCCAAAGCAAATTGTTCCTCTTCTGACATCTCTGTAAGAGTGTAAGGAAGAGAAGAATACCACAACAACAAATTAGCATGATGGCAAAAAAAAAAAACCAAAAAACCACCAGAATCATTAAACTGTCAACTGACAATACTGTAAACCATTTAGGATGATTTGTAATCTAATAAGGAAACTCATCTAAGGTGAGGTGTGGTCAAGATTATTAATAGCATTACAAGAACACTGTGTTAACTAGAGCATAAGCCCTCATGAAGGCAGTATCTGGTGAATGAACAAACAGGAACCACTATAGAGCTTTTTGCTAAATACTGCACTGCTTTATGCTCAACATTTAACCAGAACAATTTTACTCTTCAGAATCTTTGTTTATTTCAGATGGGGTCTGATGTAGCCCAGGACAGCATTGAGGTTGACCCTGAACTTCTGCCTCTAGTTACACTAGGATTACAGACACACCACCTACTTTATATAGTGATGGGGATTCAACCAGGACTTCATACACACTAATCAAACATTATTATCAACCAAACCACATGCATTCCCAGCTCTCAGAATCTTCTAATTTATTCACTTTAACAAATCCTTAGTTATCAAATTTTGATCATCAAATATTATTTTCCACTAACAGCAACTGTAGGACAGTAGAGAAATGGCTGATTCCAAGTTTAGATCACAAAATGTGCAAGATAAGTTAGAACACTTCTTATAACAGTTAGTAAAGAATCTATCATACGCTCGTAGGGCTGCATCAAAAGAAATTAGTAGCAAATTGGGGGGGGACTACTGGCTTAAAATTGAACTAGAATCCACTGAATTACCTTTATTGATGACTGCATTATCCTTATGGATTCAAACACAGCACATACATTCCATCACTGAATGCCTTCAACATAAGGAAACATGACCCATTCGGGATGAGTTGTTTTCAGTAGTGTAACCACCCCATGCTCCAGTGACTAGCTCTACACCCATCTTCATGAGGACACCCTAGTTAAACTCAGTAGGTCGCTGATGGCTGTTTTTGGTTGTCAACTTGACCACATCTGGAATTAATTAAAAATCAAGCAGCTAGGCATATCTGCGAGAGGTTTTAGTTAACGGGAATCATTTGAAGTAGGAAAACCCGCCTTAAATCCAGATCATTTGAGATCAGAAGCCCCTCCTTAAGTCTGGGCCACACCCTCTCATAGCAGCCCATATTAAGGACATGGAAGAAAGTAGCTTTTGCTTTCTGCCTCATTCTCCCTGGCAAGTTCATATACCCTGCTGCTGAGGCATTCCTTCACTGGCATTAGAGCCTCCTTCTTTGGGATTCTGATGTATACTGAAGACCAGCTGAGACATCCAGCCTCATGAACTGAACACCTACTAACTCTTGGACTTTCCATGGGAGACAGCCGTTGTTGGACTAGCTGGACCACAGCCTGTAAGCCACTCTAATAAATCCCATATACAAACATACACACATACTCACTCACTCACACTCATTCTTTAGTTCTGTTCCCCTAGAGAACCTTGACTAATATAGTCACAAAAAAAAAAATAAAAACAGACATGAAATGGCAGAGGGACTTGTAGAGAGGAAGCAGGACTGATGAGAGTCAGACAGGGTTAAAAGAAATAGGAATGGATATGATCCAAATGCATTATATACGTGTGTGAAACTGTCCAAAAAATTAATTTAATTTTAAAATGCTACAAAAAATTTGAATCTTCAAAGATGATCTTGACATGTTAAGTTGATGGTCTATACATCCCTACATAGGTGCACAAGGGTAGACAGTCAAAAATATACACATAGGTGCCTCCACAGATACGTTTCAAATCAGTCTTTAGATTTCCTTCTCTTCAATCTAAACAATCAAAAGACAATCTATCAGATATCAAAGGAAAATCTTTTATATGAAAGTCTAAATTCTGAAGTAAAATATGAAAAAGTAATAACAAAAAATATTAATAATTATTAATATCCTCGGAAAATAAGACATTGGACACTGGATCGCTGAACACACTCAGGATGCCATAAATAAACAAATGAACATTAGAGAACAATTAAGAAACTCTGAGATGAATGAAAATGAAGATACCTATTTTCAAAACTTACAAGGTAAAGCTAAAGGAATTTTTACAGCAAAATGTGTGGGTGTATAATGCTTGTATGAAAAATGATAAAAGATGTAGCTCAGTTGGTAGAGTGTTATTTAGCATGAAGCCTTGAGTTCAATTCCAAGCAATAATGAGATTGTTGTACCTAGATTCTAAAGAAACATCTGTCTTTAGTTTTCTTGTGGTATCTCCCCATGGATGTGGTATCAGACTTAGGAGTAAGTTGGGCAGTAGTCTCCAATCATCTAATATCTATAGGAGCTTATGAAGAACTGCTAATATTTCTTTATCCTTGACAAAGTTCACCTATGAAGCCATCAAATGCATCTTTTTGTTTATAGTTAGTTTTTTGTTAATTCATTTTTTATTATATTAGTTCTATTTAATTTTCTACTTCTTGAGTAAGTTTTGGTTTGTGTCTTCCTAAGAATTTATCCACAAAGTTCAAGTTCTCTATTTTCTTGGCATATACTTTTTTCATACTACTTTCTTATATACAACTTAGTTCTCTTTTCTAGTCTTGATTTTACTGTCAAGTATATTCAATTTTATATGGTTGTGCTGGCTGGTTCTTTTGTCAATTTGATACAAGCAAGAGTCATCTGGAAGAGAGACCCTCAACTGAGAAAATGTCTCCATCAGACTGGCCTATAAACAAGTCTATGGGCATTTTCTTGATTAATGATGGATGTGAGAGGGCCCAGCCTACTGTCAGTGGTACCACTCCTAGGCAGGCAGTCCAGAAACAGCAAGCTGAGCAAGCCATGGGGAGAAAGACAGTAAGCAGCACTCCTGCATGGTCTACTTCCAGTGCCTGCTTCCAGGTTCCTGCTTGAGTCCCTGCCCTGATTTCCCTCAATAATGGACTGTGATATGGAAGTATAAGCCAAATAAACCCTTTTTCTCCCCAAGTTATTTTTGGTCATGGTATTTTGCACAAAAATAGAAACCTAAGTAGAACAATGGTATAAGATATAACAAACATATACAATGGCAGAGATTATGCTCCAAATACAATACTGAAAAACTGTAACTTGAAAATAGAAATAGCTTCAGTTTCATCATGCATCACTCCTTAAGAGTTAAAATCTGACATTTCTTTCTTATGTCCAGAGGTATAAGAGATTTTAAGTCTTGTATAGCAATACACAGCAAAGAATTCTTCTTTGAACCCTTTAATCAGGACCACTAATAATTTACTTAGTTTCATAACAAAAACTAGCTGCTCACAAACATAAGTACTTCTAAACATGGGCAGAATCACACACAACAGTTTTATACTTCAGATAATCATTCCCAGGATATTTGTAGAATTCTGGGTTTCCAGTGCTGTCTTACTTGGTTCTCAGTGTAGTGTTCCCTTGAAGTTCCCTAACTTGCAACTGCAACTTTTACTCACACAATTAATATTTATTGAGAAAGGTGAACAATATTAGCTCATTTTCATCAAGTTTGAATCAGAAAACAATTACTGGAAGTCAATCTTCAGCTCTTTAACTGGGAGAATATAGTTTTTGTCATCATTTTTATTTTCAGAAAAAAATTTCAGCACAGAAAAATGGCCCAGACTTTTCCTTTTCAAATGAGTTTCCCAAAGATACAATTTTACTAGGATTAGTAATCTGAATCATACATTTGTGCAGCTATTTAAGGATGCCCTTGCCAAAAACTATCCAATATGTTTAGATGGGTCAACCAAAAGTCTAAACCTCTGGCCCCATTTCTGTTCATGAGTTGAAGCATAGAGTTCCCTGCAGAAGGCATGAACAAATCATTTTCTCCCAAAAGTTCAAAAAACTACTTAGCATCAATACCACATCTCGGCCACCCTACTGTATGCACACCTGTAGTGGGTAGCCATTCCAGCTTTGATCTGGAAGTTCCAACCCCCATTGAGGCTTCGGTAACTGTCACGAAGCGGGGTTCAGAGAGAACCCTGAAGACCCGAGATCAGGATGCGCTGGCTCTCTTGGTTCCTGGACCCTTCACACTTGAGGTAGACCGAGCAGAGTTCTCCAGAGAACACCCCGGACTGCACTACACCTTTCCCAGACCTTGTTATCTATCCCTTCACTTGTAAGTTACCCCACAAAATAAACCTCCCTTTTAACTACGTGGAGTGGCCTTAATAATTTCCCCAATGCACACCTAACCTTCTAATCAAAGCACAGAACTTTCTGTGGTCCAAGGTGGAGAAATATATGTGGATCATGTAGTGAAGCTGGGGGATGATTCTGAACTCTGATTCTTCTGCCTCCACTTCCATGACATGCTCCATTTGTATTGTTCCAACAAAGTCATTCCTAAGCAGTGACACCAGGCAGATTTAAGCTCTGAATCTTGACAATGCCCTGCCACTATGGATTTCAGCTTTGTAATTAAATTGCTCAACACCACCCATGGCAGAATTACCTATCTAAGCTAAGACTAATTTTTTTTTTTTTTTTTCGAGACAGGGTTTCTCTGTGTAGCTTTGCGCCTTTCCTGGAACTCACTCTGTAATCCAGGCTGGCCTCGAACTCACAGAGATCTGCCTGCCTCTGCCTCCCGAGTGCTGGGATTAAAGGTGTGCGCCACCACCGCCCGGCTGCTAAAACTAATTTTAAATAGTCCATATTAAAAAATTTTTTCTCAATACAAAAAAGTTAGTCATCTCCCAATGATGCCTTTTACTGATGAACAGAGGTCAACTGAAAGCTGCAATTTGTCTGAGATGTACATAGTAAAGAAAGAGAAAAGGGAGCTGAATTGCTTTCTCTTGGTGGTTCAATGGTTAAGAGCACACTTGCTGCTCTTGCAGAGCACCTGGATTCACTTCCCAACACTCATACAGTAGCTCAAATCATCTGTATCTCCAGTTCCAAGAGATCCAACCCCCTCTTCTAGTATCAGGCACATACAAGCATGCACTCAGACATATAAAATAAAATATTTAAGGGGTGGGTAGAGAATCAAGGGCCCTAGTAAGAGTACCTAGCCATGAAGATCACATTTACAGTTTCAACAGTCTTCCTCTAGCAAGTCAAATATGTAAGCAGAAATTAACTCTCTAAAAAACTTGCAAAAGTTAAAAAAAAAAAATTCAGAACAGGAAACATAGACACCTCTAGAGAATTCTCTTTTCCCAATGAAAAGAGACTTTTCATTGGGAAAATTATTTGAATTATCAGTGATTACTACGATGGTACACATAAGAAAGTCCCTTTTTCAACTTTAAAAAAGAGAACATGCAAGATCTAGAACCAATTAAACCACAAAAATGAAATTGTATAATATACTGACATGATTACTACATCAATTCAACTAAAAAATGAAAACATACGTGCAATTTTTCTTTTAGCCAAACACTTTGATCTGTTTGACTGTTTTGTCTTCATTTTCTGCAATCCATTCTCCTCTTTTGCTTCCTGTTGTAAACAAGAGATATGATCAAAGTAAATGACATTAAAAGTAGTAATTTCTCCATTTCTTCTGTATTTCCTTTTGGTTAGTAGAAGTCTTTGAATTATCAGTGATTACTAAGATGGTACACATAAGAAAGTCCTTTTTTCAATTTAAAAAAAGAGAACATGCAAGATCTAGAACCAATTAAACCACAAAAATGAAATTGTATAATATACTGACATGATTACTTATCACATATACAGAATTACACAAAAACTGGCCAATCTCCAAAATACTAGTAGACATCTACCCAAGATCAGAGACATTTCATTCAATAAGTGTTTGAATTCAGTATGTATCCATTTATTGTAAATCATTCTTTGGCCACTGGTTGGTGAAATAAAAAGAAAGTAAAGGAATTCTACAAAATCAAAAGAAAACCAAATATACCAATCCCACTCCACATCAAAACTTAGAAAGTAGCACTTGAGAGAGAGCAGGCACTATGAGTTTGAGGTCAGCCTGGTCTATATAGTGAGTTCCAGGACAGCCAGAGCCATGTAGAGACCCAGTCTTAAAATAGCAACAACAAAAAACAAAACAAAAACTTAGTAAGAAGCACTGAAAAACACCAATAATAATCAAGATAACCAAAAAAGAAATAGAGAAAGCAATAAAAAAAAAAATAGTTAGGAGAAAGCAGATGAAAAAGAATAGAGGCAAAGATAATATAATATATGATTAATTAGAGATCCTGAAGAAGAAAACAAAATATTAAATTGTAGCCCAAGAAAATTTTCAGGTGGGGAGAGGGATGAGGAATCATAAAAGTGTCCACCATTCTCTAAGAAAATGGCCTGAACAATTAATTTCCCAGACATATCCTACAGTAAATGCTAAGCAAATAAAAGAAAAATTCCTAAAACATTCAGATTGACAAACAGACATAATAACTGACCCTTAAAAAGGAAAGTTAGTAGATATCCTAAAATCAGCTTACAAAAGCAAAAATAAGTAAATAAACAACAACAACAAGAAAAACCCCTAAAGGCAGTAAACTAAAGAATTATAAGGCAAAAATGTTTAAACAAAGGATTTTGTATCTCATCAAGCAAACATGATAAAATATTTAAGAACTCAGGAAATGTTATACTTGTAACGGCTTTTTAACAAATCTAGTAAACAAGCATCATTCAACCAAAAGTGGTTAGAGAAACACTGGGAAAAGAACTGACAGTAAATATTTAATATACTTCATTTTACATCTAAGAATAAAACAAAATTAGGGGCAAATACAAAAGGGGTCAGTGAGGTGGCTCAGCATGTAAAGCACCTGCTATGCGAGCCTGATGACCTGTGTAAGATCTCTGCTGGAGAGATGGCTCAGAGGTTAAGAGCACTGGCAGTTCTTCCCAAGGCAAGTTCAGTTCCCAGCAACCACATGGTGACTCACAACCATCTATAATGAGATCTGGTGCCCTCTTCTGGCGTGCAGGCATACATGCAGGCAGAACACTATACCTAATAAGTAAATCTTTTTTAAAAATTTTTTTAAAAAATTAAAATTAAAAATAAATAAAAGCGGAAGGAAAGAACTGACTCCACAAAGCTGTCCTCAAACACACATAAACATTCTATGACATAAACACTAATATATGACATAAACACACTAATAAATAATATAAAAGTGTGAATGAGAATTCCTGGAAAGAAGTTGTCTGTAAAGGCTGATATACTGATTAAAATTTGCAATGTTTTGGGTTCTAATTACAATTTATCTTGGGTTATCTTTACTCCTTAAAGACCCATTCTTTGCCTACGTCTGTGTTGGACCTAACATCCTATGGCTAACAGATAAAAACCTTTGGAATGTATTAACAAAAACCCTAGTTTTCACCAACCAAAAGGCTAAGAGCCATCAGATAGCATTTAAGACCTACAATTGAGATTTTGATACTTTGTTATAACCACCTACTTATTGTGTTTATCAATATTTTTTAAAGTACCTTGATTTATGACTTTCTTTGTTCTCTTACCATAGAAATATTATGAAACTGCTACCACACTGGAACCTGGAATTTGGAGTAACCTCAATCTGTGTTCCCAGGCCATGGTCACACATAAATGGCTCCAGAATAAACTATCTCTTATCCTTTTTCAGGTGAGAGTTGTGTTTTTACATTGAAAAAAGAAAAATACATTAATGGTCTACTTTCTAATAATGTAGAAATTATGCTACTATTAAATAAAAAGCATAAAGTAAAATAAGTCCATCAACTACTACATAGATTGAAAGTAAAAGTCAAATAACACCAATCAAAACTGAAAAACCAGATAATAGCCAAAATAAGAAAAGATAAAAGGAATTATGAAAAGCACACTATAAAAGTAATCATTAGAACAATATATCAAACAAATTCTATCAGTATTCCCACTGCTACTACAAGCCGTGAGAACAAAAACAGTTGGAAAATGAGATGAAAAGACTTCAGGAAAAATCATTAAAACAATGAAGACAGCAGTTGGAAGGCATAGGCAGGCAGATTTCTGTGAGTTCAGGGCCAGCCTGATCTATACTGAAGTTCCAGGCCAGCCAAGTCTGCAAAGTAATAGACCCTGTCTCAAAAACACAAGCAACATATTAAAGAATATATATCATAGGCAAATCATCCTTAGAAAGCACAACATTAAGGCCAAACACTGAGCACAGGTGCAAGATTTAGTACTTCATATCATCAGGTACAGAAAAGTATCATAAGAGTGAAAGAAACCAGGCCGGGCGGTGGTGGCGCACGCCTTTAATCCCAGCACTCGGGAGGCAGAGCCAGGCGGATCTCTGTGAGTTCGAGGCCAGCCTGGGCTACCAAGTGAGTTCCAAGACAGGCGCAAAGCTACACAGAGAAACCCTGTCTCGAAAAACCAAAAAAAAAAAAAAAAAGAGTGAAAGAAACCAGAAGTAGAGATGTGGTTTGAACGTGAAATGTGTTCCCATAGGGTCATATGTTTGAATACTTGGTTCCCAGATGTGGCCTTGTTTGGGAGGATGGTAGAACCTTTAGGAGCTAGAGTATCACTGCAAGAAGTGGATCACTGGGGGAACGTCTTGAAGCTTTACAGCCTGCCCTACTTTCTTGTTCACATTCTGTTTCCTGAGTATAGATGTAATGTAAACAATAGCTTCCTGCTCCTGCTACCAAGCAACCTTTCTTGCCTGCTGTCATGTCTTCTGCCATGATGGGCTATATGACTTTGGAACTGCAAGACAAAATAAACTCTTTCTCCCTTAAGCTGCTTTTGTCTAGGACATTTTATCACAACAGTAAAGCAACTAAGACAGAACCTGGTACTAAGAAGTGAGGCCGTTGCTATAAGCCTGTCCATGTGGTTCTCATTCCTTTGGAACTAGTTTGGGGGTATAAATATGGAAGTGTTTGGAACTTTGGGTTAGAAAAGCCCTTGAGTGCTATAAAGAGAGCTTAATGGACCATTCTGATGGGAGCCTGTAAGATAAAAGTGCTGAGAAGGGCTGGAGAGATGGCGCAGAGGTCAAGAGCACTGGCTGTTCTTCCAGAGGTCCTGAGTTCAATTCCCAGCAACCACATGGTGGCTCACAACCATCTCTAATGAGATCTGATGCCATCTTCTGGTGTGGAGGCATACCTGCAGGCAGAATACTATTTACATAATAAATAAATAAATCTTAAAAAAATTTTAAAAAAATGCTGAGAAAAGCATGAACAGTGGGGCTCAGCTCATGAGTTTTCAAAGAAAAACAATGACTATCAGGAACTGGGGCACAGGTCATTTATGTCACATTTTGACCAGGAATCTTGCTTCATTCTGCCTGCGTCCTGAGAACCTGAGTAAAGCTGAATTTAAATAAATAAAGAAATAATAAACTAATTTGTTTGGCAGTAGGAACTTCAAGACAGGATTGTATCTATTACTGAAAATTGTGTTACAGTGGGACACTAGGAAACATGTCTTCAGGACAAAATCCATTGGAGGCTGTCTTGTGAAAATCAAATGCATTTAAAGGAAGAAAACCTAAACTGAAGAGATTCCCTGCTCCTCAAAGCAACTACTTAGGAAAGTTTCTTCCAGGTCAGCACTCAAAAGCTGACATAGCTATACTCCAATGGAGTCAAGCTACATCTTGAGTGGACAGCAGGACTTGGCAATGCCTTCCATTGGTACTCATTTTGCAAGCATGGAAGAAACAAGATTAAAGAGGTCACAAAGCCATGTATTCCATGTTTTCTGAGAGCAGCTGAAGCCAGACAATGTGTGACAGGGTCAGAGTCCATATAAGGAGACCCTGAGCCATGTATGAAGCTAAAAAAGTGAGGCCTAGGTTGAAGTGGAAACCCCAGGATACTGGAGGTGCCAGAACCATAGGATGAAGAGAGCTGAAAGAATGGATTGGAGCCGACCCAAGAGAGAATGTGTGCTGAAGGCAGGAGAACTGTAACCCAAATTACATCATGACTATGTTATCACCTTTACATGTTAAAAATGAGGGCATTCCCTGGCCTCTTTTACACCAGAGAACAGAACATTTTCTTGGTTTCTTGGGTACTTTTTGTTTTGAGTACATTAGTTCTTAGGTACTTGAGTTTTATGGAGGTTATTTGTTTTTTGTGTTTAGTTTTGTTTTGTTTTGTTTTGAGACAGGGTCTCTCTGTAGCCCTGGCTACATTCATTATGTATGTACTGGAACTCATTCATTATGTAGACCAGACTGGCACTGAACTCACAGATATATCTGCCTCTGCCTCCCAGTGCTAGGATTAAAGGCATGCATCACTACATCTGGTGGTTTTGTGTTTTAAAATGCTAGCAATCAAACCTGGGAGGCCATTACTCATGCTAGGCAAATGTTTGACCACTGAGCTATACCCCAGGCAAGACATTTTCTTCAAGAAATATTTAAATAAAGCTAAGTATAGTGGCTCATACCTTCAATCTCTGCACTTGGGAGGCATAACCAGGAAGATCTCTGTTAATTCAAGGCCAGCCTGGTCTACAAAGCAAGTTCTGGGCTGGTCAGGTCTACAGTGAGACTCTGTCTCAAAACACTGAGGAAAAAAAGAGGAGGAAAAACCATTAAAAATAAAAATAAAACCTGGAGGCTGAGTAACTCAGAAGTTAAGAACACTTATTGCTCTTACAAAGGACCAAAGATTGGTTCCCAGCGCCCATATCAGTAGATCCAGTTCCAGGGGATCTGACACCCTCTGCACTCCACAGGCACTTATATGCATGTGGTACACATACACTCATGCAAGAACACATACATACATAAAATAAATAATAAATTTTTTTAAAAAAGAGAAGAAAAATCTAATGCAGGTGTTTTCTAAGAATGCTAAAAGCTAAGCAACATTGACAGGTTTTGAGCATATAAAATTACTGCCCTTCGCCGGGCGCGGTGGTGGCGCACGCCTTTAATCCCAGCACTCGGGAGGCAGAGCCAGGCGGATCTCTGTGAGTTCGAGGCCAGCCTGGGCTACCAAGTGAGTTCCAGGAAAAGGCGCAAAGCTACACAGAGAAACCCTGTCTCGAAAAAAACCAAAAAAAAAAAAAAGAAAAAGAAAAAAAAATTACTGCCCTTCAAAAAAGCATAGTTCAATAACAGAGGTTAAAAAATATCATGGCAGGGGTCAGCAAGATGGCTCAGAGGTAAACATGCCTTCCACCAAGCCAGATGATCTGAGTTCAATCCCCATATCCACATGGTAGGAGAGAGGCAACTCCAAAAAATTGCTCTTTAGCCTCCACAAGCATGCACCCACACACACAAAATAATTAAAATGTAATTTTTTTAAATTTTAATATAATAGCAATTTCAAAGACTGACAAATAATACCATAGAAATAAGCACAAGTTCTATGGGATCGTGAGAGATCAGAAAACTGACCTAGCCTTAGGAGATCCACTATGGAAACCGAAAGAACTGACACCTAAGCGGAAAAACAGCTGAAAAGCACAGTAAGGAATACAAAGGTCAGAAGAAATATGGAATAATTCATACTGATTTTCAACTGACAAAGCCAAAAAGTTGTTTTTCCTAATACCAACTGCTTCTTAATATTCTAAAACAGTCGTTTAAAGTATTTTTTTGTAATGCAAAAAAAGCTAAATGGGGGTGGGGGGAGATGGCTCAGTGGCTGAAAGCACTTCCTGTTCTTCTCCAGTTCAGTTCTCAGCACCCACGGTGGCTCACAACAGCCAGCTCCAGGGATCTAACGCTCTCTTCTCTCCTGGCTTCCTCGGGTACCTTAACTCGCACGGTACACATTTACAGAAATACAAGGAAAAGGGCCACAGGAGCATGGAAATCAGATCAGTGTCTTGCTCAGCCATCAGAGAAGCTTCCTTCTACAGTAGATGGGAATGAAAACAGAGACTCACAACGGGACACTGAGCAAAAGACCTTGGAACACCTAGTCCTAAAGGGGTATTTCATCAAATCCCTCCCCTCAGAGTTCAAGGAACCCTGCCAAAGAAGAGGAGGAAAAATTGTAAGAGCCAGAGGGGGTGGAGGACACCAAGAAGACAAAACCTTTCAAACACAGCAGGACTGATGCACATATGAACTTACAAACTGTGACAGCACGCACAGGGCCTGCACAGGTCTAAGCCAGTTGGGGTCCCAGTGCCGAGAGGAGAAGTAGAAACAAGTGTTCATCCCTAATCCAGATGCCATCTCCAATTGATGACCACTCACAAAGGAAAGTTACTTTTCTCAGCCAAGTCTCATTGGGTGTACAAACCACTCTTAAGCACAGACTCCATGCCCAGCAGTAGAAAACTAACACAAAACAAACTCAAAGGCATTTTTGGAGGTTCTCTGTCTCATAATGCTTTGTCAGGAACTATTTTTCTTTTTTCCTTACAGGTCTTTTGGGTACATATTACGGTTTTCATGTTGTATTTTTATGGATTTCTATGTGTGAACTTGTGTGTCTCAGCATCTATACGAGTTTCTTGGGATTTTTCTTTGGTTCTTTTTCTTCTGTTTGTTTCGCCCTATTCCAGTTTGTTTGTTTTTATTTTATCTTATTATTTTTTAGATGCCAGCTTGTATTCTAATGAGAGACAGAAAGAGTATGGATTTGAGTGAGTGGGGAATTGAGGAGGATCCAGGAGGAGCTGGGAGAGGGAAAACCACAACAAATATATTGTATGAAAAAGATCTATTTTCAATAAAAAAATTAAAATTTAAGCCGGGCGGTGGTGGCGCACGCCTTTAATCCCAGCACTCGGGAGGCAGAGCCAGGTGAATCTCTGTGAGTTCGAGGCCAGCCTGGTCTCCAAAGCAAGTTCCAGGAAAGGCGCAAAGCTACACAGAGAAACCCTGTCTCGAAAAACAAAACAAAACAAAACAAAAAAAAAATTTTAAAAGAAAACTAAGGAAAAGCAAAGAAAAGTAAAACAAACACAGCAGTGAGTAAGAAGGGAAAACAACAGGAGAGGAACACACTAAAATAGGAAAGTTTCTGCAGTGATGAGTCTAAGATGTGCATGTTATGCCTCCCATGCGTGTGAATGGGCATACACACACATTCCATATTCCTCCCCATCCCACCCCCCCACCCCCGCACACAGACACAGACACACACCCAAATAAATAGTGGCAATAAGTAAAGAGAAATGTAGTGAGGGACAACAAGGCAGAAGAGATATTTTAGTCTATTACAAAAATCTCCGTAACAGGTGAACAGGCAAAAAAATGGAAATGGAAACAGATCTGAGTATCACTTAAGAGGTAAAACCTAAAGCATGTGGTGAACAATTAGGGGTAAAAGATGGAAAAATGACTCAAAGGTGAATGTGAAACCTATAGTCAGAGAAAAATGAAAGATGTAAGACACAATGACTTGGTTCCTCATGCACTGGATCTGACCTAACAGGCAGGTGAAAAAGAGAGAGAGAGAGAGAGAGAGAGAGAGAGAGAGAGAGAGAGAGAGAGAGAGAAATGGTAAACAAAGGAGAAGGTTTAAAATCCAAGAAAATCTCTCTCCTAGAAGCCTTTCCACAAGACTGTAAATTTCTTGGCTCAGTTGGTAGTGTGCTTCCCTAGCATGTAACAAAGCCTGAGTTCCATCCCAAGCAGCATTCACATTTTCTTTTACTTTCCAAACACACAAAAATTACACTTTATATTTCATTTAATTTACTCTAACAAGTCTAAAATATCATATTGGGTTAATATATTACAAAAAGGAAAACTATAATCCATCCCCAGCATGGCTACTTTCTTTTAAATAACCTATAATTCCACTTAGAAATCAAAAGAAAATCAAGTGAAAACTGCACGAAGTCAGTCAGCTAGTGTGAGGGTAGAGTCAAAACAAACCCTTGTGGGTAAAGAGGTCTAGCCTAAGACCTACATCCCCATGTCAAACACCAACCTCTCCATCACTATCAGAGATCACTATGAGTAGGTCCTCCAGTCTACGCTTCTTCTTTATACTGACACAACTGCTGGCTTCTGGATCCTTCTTCTCCAAGTTCTGGCTTTCAGAGGCTTCTTTAATTTTTTTCTTTCTTCGTGGCATCTTTTTGTCTGAAACACAAGTTCAATAATTTACTCAAAGTATATGTTTCTAATCTAGAGGCTATTCAATTTGGTCAAATAAAAGCAAATGACAGCCATTTTAGGGAAATAAATCTAGACTTTAGAACTTTTCTACTATTCATTAAATTTTTTTCTATAAAGGAATATATACATGTGTGCATATACATATGTAGCATGAATTCTAATTGGTCTTAATAATAACAACCCGGAGTCAGATATCAAGGGTGAAAGCTGAAAGATCTGAGTGAGAAGTAAAGCAGCCAGCCACTAGAAAGACTTCTTACCTCTAGGAATAATCAGACTGAAAAGGGGGTGAGCTCCTGTCTCCTCCTACCTTATATTCCTCTCCCCACCCAGCCATATCACTTCCTGTCTCCACCTCCCTAGTGCTGGGATTAAAGGCATGTGATCCCAAGTGCTGGGATTAAAGGCACTGAGCCTCCACTGCCTGGCTCTGTTTCTCTTTTAGACTGGGTCAATGCCAGGGTGGCCTTGAACTCATCTTCCTGCTTCTTCCTCCCAAGTGCTGGGGTTAAAGGCGTGCCACCACTGCCTGGCCTCTATGGTTAACTAATAGCTAGCTCCACACTCTGATCTCCAGGCAAGCTTTATTTGTTAGAGCACAAACAGAATATCACCACATAGCTATACAGGTGATGAGCATATGTATGTGTCCATATAAACACATACAAATAAATCTAATCTCTCTAGTGAAATGTTCATAGCATAAAAACAATTTATCTTGGTTCCTTACATATTAATTTACACAACTGATTTCCTCAAGTATACAGTAACAATTTACCCAAAAGATCTTTTTAAAAAATACTAATACTCTTAACCAGGTGCAGTGGCTCCCAGAACATCAGGAAGCAGAGACAGGAAGATCACAAGGAAGAAGCTAACCCAGACAATATTAGTACAGTCTCAAAAATTTAACAATAAAAACCTCAATACTGCAATCTGATAAGGGAATCCCCAAAAATCCCATAGCTAATATTTATATATTTATGTAATAATTTAGGTAGAAATATACTTAAAGGTAAAATATTGAATTATTTCTCAAGACAAAGAACAGGGCAAACATGACTGCTTTGGCTGTGTCATGTGCCTATAATACCAGCTTATTTGCAGGCTAAAGCAGGATTGTAAGGTGGAAATAATACAGAACAAAATAGTGAGATCATGCCTCAGAAAAAGAAGAAAAAAAAACTGTTTGCTTTCGTCACCAAAGATTATACTGGAGGTTCTAGGTAGGTTAATTAAAGTGCCTGGAAGACCAGAAGATGGCAGCCCTTGGAACTAGAGTTACAGGCAGTTCTAAGTCACCAGGTGGGTGCAGGGAATTTAACCAGTGTCCTCTGGAAGAGCAATCAATGCTCTTAACCACTGACAAATCTTTCCATCCCCAATTCTAATTTTTTTTAAAGATTTATTTAAGTTTATGTATTAGAGTGTTTTGCCTACATGTACTATGTGTACCACTTGTGTACCTGATGCCTTCAGAGGACAGAAGAGGGTGCTAGGTCCTCTGGAACTGGAGTTATGCACAGGTGTTGAAAACCAAACCTAAGTCCTCTATAAGAGCAGTAAGTGCTTTTAATTGCTGAGCCATCTCTCTATACCAGTGGTTCTCGACCTTCCTAATGCTGTGACCATTAGGTTCCTCATGTCGTAGTGGCCCCCAACCACAAAATTATTTTTGTTGCTACTTCGTACCTGTAATTTTGCTACTGTTGTGAATCACAATGTAAATAAATGCAGGATATAATATGTAACCCTGTGAAATGGTCAGTTGACCTCAAAGGGGTCAAGATCCACAGGTTGAAAACCAACACTGTACACCCTAAATTCTACTTCTAACAGCATAAAAAGTAATAAAATCCTAGCCAGTAGCGGTGGCACATGCCTTTACCAGTACTTGGGAGACAGAGACAGGTGGATCTCTGAGTTCAAGACCAACCTGGCCCAGCCTGGTCTACAGAGCAAGTTCCAGGACAGCCAGGACTACAAAGAAAAACCCTGTCTCGAAAAATCAAAATAATAATAACATCCTTATGAATAAAGTATATAAAGAAACAAAGAGGTACATAAAATTTAGAACTAAAAATTTTACAGTATTCCTTAAAAGGAGGTAGAGATTAAACCCAGTGTGTGGTGTGTGTGTGTTCATACCCACGTGTGTCCACACACAGGCAAAAATAAAAGATTTCAAACACACCTTGAACAATCATAGTTATCATTGACAGAATCAATAGACAAACTTCTAGGTATCTCATACCTATTACAGAGGTTATTCCTCCCAAGAACACTTACTGGTAGACATCACTGTCTAACACGTTAGGAAACAGTTTAAAAAAAAAAAGTAGCGGGCAAGTGGCTGTGCTGGGAAATGACAGACGATGCATCTGATTCCAAAACTAGACTTTCTCTGACTCAACTACAAAGCACTGTCTCTCATAACAAAACAAACAAAAACTCTAAACGTTGCGCTCACTTTTCCCTCGGCGTTGCCCGTGTTTGATACAGACTAAAGTGCCATTAGACAGGAGTCAAGCGGACCAGATTCACACCCAGCTCCATCACTGAGGCGGCGGCAATGCTCGGGTCTCACGGTTCTGATGCACAGCCTGTCATAGTCCACGGGAAACGCTCCAGCTGTACTGGCGACGTTAAGTGATAGATGACAGACTTCCTGGGAGACTACGGCAGGAGGATCGCGAGTTAGAGGCCATCTTGAACCTAGAGTTCAAAGCCAGGCAGGGCTACTACCCAGAGAGACCGGTGGGGACGGTGTCTCAGGCGAAGAACTAGTGAAGTCAACTGTCACTCGACAACCAAAGTAACGTGGGGGAGGCTGTGGCCCTAGACGCCTGTCCTCGGAGAGTCCGTTAGCCGGAAGGCAGAGAGGGCGCCCGGGAGGCCGTAGGCCGCCCTCAGGGGAGGGGGACACCAGGGGCTCGAGGCCGCGAGCGCGACCCCACGTCGGCTCCCGCCCGGCCGAGCGGCCTACTCGTTACGAGGCGCGCCTCAGACCGAGCGGCCGCCGCCGGGCAGAGTGAAAAGCAGGCGCGAGCCTGACGGCCGCAGCGTGCAATACATACTCACCGCAGCGCTGGAAGCTCCGCCGAGCGCCTCCTGAACGCTGGGGGTCGCGAGCGGCCGCGACTCCTCAAAGTGAAGAACGCGCCAGGCCGCGCGAACCGGCGGGGGCGGGGCGGGGGCGGGGCCGGGCCGGCGCGCGCAGGCGCAGGCGCGGGGCAGTGTGGGCCGCGCTAACCAGAGCTAACCATCGGGAACGGCCGGCCGCGGCCCTTCAAAGTGCTTTGGCTAGAACTTAGCCATGGTTTGAGGAAAACCACCAAAGTTAGTCCCCAAATACTTATAGTAAACCCTTCGAAATCAGCTTTTCTACATCGAGCCACTTCTGGTACTTTATTTTCATGAATTCTGACTTACATTGACATTAAATGTTCACATGACTACTTAGAAACTTTCAGATGGTAAATTAATGTCTGATCATCTCAGTGATCAACTCAGCTATGGCACGTAGCAATTAGATCGAGCCATTTCTGAGGATGATTTGATGTGATGAAATTTAAAATATGCACTTTGATGACAATATCATTTGTAGAAAAACACAGAGATGAGGCTGGAAAGATGGCATAGTGGTTAAGAGAATGAACTGCTCTTGCTGAGAACCTAAGTTTGGTTCCTAGAGCGCACATAGAGTGGCTCACAACTGCATATAACTCCAGCTCCCAGGGATCCAATGCCTTCTAACCTCTGTAAATCTGGCATACGTACATATACACAGATATAAAAATGAATCTTAAAACTACTGAAAGTTCTACAAGTAAGCATAAGGTATATTCCAGGTAACCCATTTCCTTGAAATAAAAATGGCAACAGCAGAAACATCTAATACAACAAAGATGAATAAAACATGAAATATTTATACAATAAAATTCTACAGTTAAAACTCAATGGGCCACGTGGTGGCACACGCCTTTAATCCCAGCACTCAGGAGGCAGAGGCAGGCGGATCTCTGTGAATTCGAGGCCAGCCTGGGATACAGAGCGAGATCCAGGACAGGCACCAAAACTACACAGAGAAACCCTGTCTCAAAAAAAAAAAAAAAAAAAAAAAAAACCTCAACTGGGTCCTATGTAACATTTGATAGCTCCTAACAAATCTTACTGAAGCCAGGCCTTTAATCTCAGAACTCAGAAGGCCTTGGCAGGTGAGTACCAGGCTAGCCAGGACCATATTTCTCCCCTAAAAAAGGGGTGAGGGGATGAGTAGTAGTCTTACTGAAATAACAGCGAGCCAATAAATAGGAACAAATCTTGAATGATCTGCATAAACTTACAGAAAACAGTATATACAGTATCTATGTATATGTGTGTGAATATATATATATATATATATATATATAAAACTGTATAAATAGCTCATAGTTTGTGGGAAACTATATTAAAATCATATTTTAATGGGTAGATGGGTACACATCGTGGTAATAATATGGAAACGAGGAAGAAATAAAGAGGAAGTGGTAATAAACAGGACCTCAGAGAGATGTCAAGACCAGGACTGATAACACACACCTACCATCCAAGCACTCAAGAAGCTGAGACAGGAGGACTGCCACAGGTTTGAAACTGGCCTGAGCTACACAGAAAGTAATAAGCCAACCAGGGCTGTATTCCAAGACCCTGTCTCAAAAACAGTAATGATAATAATAAACAAGTAACAAGTTGTCAACAGTTGGGTAGCAGAACACAGGTACATTATTCTTGGTACTTTTCTGTACCATTTAAATTCAAGAATATCTTTGCTCTATCCCCTAGATCACTGACTTCTAAACCATTCTTCAAAAGCCAGCTCAAGTGTTTATAACCTGTTCATTTCTCCTATTGCTTCCTCAGCTGCTGAGATACTGTGTCCATGACATGCTATAATTATTTACCACATGTGTCTATATCTTCCATAAGACTGTGAGCTATCAACAGCTTAGATGCAAGATTGTAAAACATCGGTAGCGAACTTCTGCCCTCTGGGGTTCTCCCATTGTGCTGTAAGCCTGTATTTAAGACCTCATTCCTCCTTCAATAAACAGCATTCGGCATTAAAAAAAATAAAAAATAAAAATAAACAAAAAAAAAAAAAGAATACGAATGGGGCTCAAAAAAAAAAAAAAAACACCACATTTCAGCACAAATAAAATATCCCCACAAGTAAAAAAAAAAGACTGTGAGCTATCTTACAACATTGCCCACAGAGGCAGCAAGATGGTTCATCAGATAAAGGCACTTGCCACCAAATCTGACGACCTGCAAGTAGTCCTCTCACCTCTGGATACATGGCATGGCATATATATATATATACACAAATACACAAAATAAATAAAGATACAAAAAGTTAAAAATATTGCCCATGTAACCTCAGCAAGCAGCAAAGGGGCCTGGCCAAAAGCAAACACTCAATAGCTGTGAACTGAATTCAGATGAATTAAACTGGGAGCAGGTATCACAGAAGGCCTCAAAACAGCGATTCATGGACAGTATAAACAGCAAGAGACCCTGCCTAAACAAGGTGGAAGATGAGGTCAGTTGTCATCTGACCTCCACCATGGCACAAACATGCCCCTACTCACACATCACACGTGAGCATCCAGTTTAAAGACTATGGTTTTCATGAGAGCACCAAGACTGCATTTCTCGGATAGGATGTCCCTGTGTAGCCCAGGATGGTCTGAATATACTTTGCAGCACCTAATTGCCAGAGGAAGTAAGGAAATGCAGTCCAGCCTCACTATCAGCAGCATGAGGATTTCCCACTCTCCCCTAGGGGCCTCCAGTCAGGAAATGTCAAGTCCTTGACCATGCATTGCAGAAAAGGATTTCAGGATGAAGCCCGGCATAAAGGCACACACGGAAGATAGAGGAAACAGGAGCTTAAGGCCATCCTCAGCTACAGCAAATTCAAAGGCAGCCTTCAGACTTTGAGACTGTCTCATAAATAAATAAGTAAACAAACAAACAATGAACTTCAGGAGCCAGAGAAAAGCAAGGTTTGTGAGCTTATAAAACAGTGACCAGGCACAGTGGCACACACCTTTAATGTCAGCACTCAGTGGGCAGAGGCAAGCGGATCTCTTTGAGTTTAAGGCCAGTTCAGTATGCATAGTGAGTTCCAGGACAGCCATGGCTCTAGAGAGACCCTGTCCAATGAAAACAAAAAAAGAGAAAGAAAGTATCATGGATAGAATTCTAGGGTCAACCCCAAGTCAGCCCTGCAAAACTCCAGACCTATGTTCACTTGCTTATCGAATGTTGCACTTAAAGTCTAATAAGCCTCTCCAGCATTAACTGTCAAGATCGATATAAAGTAAAACAAATACATCCAGAAATTTTTTTTTTTTTTTTTGGTTTTTCGAGACAGGGTTTCTCTGTGTAGCTTGGCGCCTTTCCTGGGACTCACTTGGTAGCCCAGGCTGGCCTCGAACTCATAGAGATCTGCCTGGCTCTGCCTCCGGAGTGCTGGGATTAAAGGTGTGCGCCACCACCGCCCGGACAGAAATATTTTTTAAAAATAAAATTTAAGTAAAGTGCATTTACTTAGATTTAGGTATGAGAAAGAGTTAAACTCAATGTCACAAATATTTTGGCCATAAGAAAACATAGACTGGTTTTTATTTTAATTACATATATTTAATTAAACATGTACGTGTGTGTGTGTGTGTGTGTGTGTGTGTGTGTGTGTGTGTGTACATGTTTGGGCCTGCATGTGAGATGATGGGCTTGGGGAGGTCAGAGGACAATTTGCAGGAATCAGTTCCATCTGTCTGAAGCAGGCATGGATAGGAGATGATTTAGCTTAGGACCCTATTTGAGTTTGGATTATAAATATAAATATAATACATCCTCTTGTAACAATACACTTGACACCCAGCTCCTTCACCTGTGTGTTCTATGCACACATGTCCCTCTCCAAACAATAGACCTAGCAAGCTAAAAACCTCAGCCCCAGCCTGCATCAGGCTACACATACTCCCATCTCTGAACAGGGGTTTCTCCACTCCTAGTAACAATCAAATTTAGACAGTTTCTATTTGTGTGCCCAATGTATTCAGATATGAAGAACAGAAGGGCCGACCTGGTCTGAACTGGTTTTGGATGATGTGCAGCAAAGCAAAATATCTAGAAAAGTTTTAAGGAGAATCCCCTATTTACCATCTTATGCCTATGCATAGCTGTGTGTGCATATTTCTAAAATCAAATACATTACAGGAAGAGACATGTGCACTAGGAAATGTCAATATATGACCTAATCTGTCAATCACAGTAGAGAAGCACCTGAACTACACCCCTTAGTAACCAGCCCCACCTTCCTAATTTAGACCCAATAAAAACAGACCTCAAGGTGCAACCTGAGCCTGTGAGTTCCCCTCATGTGACCTGCTGTCAATTGTAACCATTTTATAGAGAGACACTCCATAAAATGTATTGCTTTGCTCTAAATACAGTTATCTTGCTTCTTTTGCAAATCTTTCTGAGCCCTTACCTACTGGATTGAGTGAGAAATGTCTTCTAGGCTCATAATTGGTCCCGAGTTGGTGGTGCTCTTCGGGGAGGTAGTGGGTGGAGCCTTGCTGGAGGAAGTACACCACTCAGGGTGGGCTTTGAGAGTTACAGCCTTGCTGCACTTCCAGTTCCCACTCTCAGCTTCTGCATGTGGCTGTGATCTCTAAGTTTCCTGGTCTGGCTGGTC